CCATACCACCGCTTTTCAGTCTCAAAATAATAATTTTTTTAGCCCAAGATGAGCCGACAACTTGGATCCCTACACCGCTCAAATTCCCATCCAACCAACCTCAACACTCCAATTACAATAATTCCACTTTTTGCTTTCCCGCCACCCGATTTCCCAACTAGTATTATAACATTAAGCATGATTTCAGACACTAATTCAGATATTTCAGTTTTATACTCCATTTCACAACTTAATAACCCTAATATAGAAACCCCTGACGAATTTGAAGACTCCGAACCATCTCCATCCAATAATTTTCAAACCAACTCCTCAGTTTTTTCAAAACCCCCTTTTCAACCAATCCCACCAAATAACCCACTCCCGTCCGTTTCTACCCCCTCTTATGCTTCACAAGTAACTTCTAACCTACTCTTCATTTCATTCAGACCGATTATCCAATTCTCCAGATATTCCCCTGGATAATCTCCCAAGAACTCGATAATTTTATCACCCTACAACAACAACTATTACACCCTAACACCCTCACTATAAATCAGATTTCCTCCACAATAGAATGCTCAAACCCACCTTCTCCTACACCCTCTTCAGCTTATACTGCCTCATTAGCACAATTATTCACATCCACCGAATCATCAAATAGCACTAACCGAGCTTATCGCACTTTTAAAAGAAAATTCCCAAACCATCCATTCCCGACCAAACCAGGAACAGCCTGTGAATATATTAATCATCCACACCACACCAACACGAAAGTTTTCCTAGCAATCACCCTACCTTCATTTCCACAATATACTTTAAACACCCCTCACGACACTAACGACACACGTAGTTTTGTAGATGAACATGTTTTAATGCCTACACTTCATTGGACAACATATTATCATTTTACTAATCCCCTTTGCCTACCGTTATCTAATACTCATAACGATATAGAAAGGAATAAAGATATGCTATATCGACTCACCACACCACTAACACATAGACAATTTACTCATATAGGATATAAAAAATCACTAAAAACATTCACTGCACCCCGAGCTAACGAATTTACAATAGAACATTACGATCATAACATCGTCCGAACTAACCAAGATCAATTTTTAGATGACGACCGCTTCGCTAACCCACAACTAACAGAAAAATTCTTCATCAAAACACCATATGTATTCACACTCAATATATTTGATCGAAAATATGATCACATCATTTCTGAAGCACTAACTGACATGCAAGCTTACGAAAGTTTTAAAGAAAAATTTCAATTATTTTCACCAACCTTCCACTTCCTTGCACCACATGAACGCGATTTGCACTGCTCACACGACATTATGTTACGCACTAAACAAACTCACACATATACATATTATCGCTTCATACAAAATCATTTTGATCTACACACTCCATCAAGACAACCACACCACCGTTTTCAGTTTCTTAACTCGAAGTACACTTCAAAATTTTTTCTAAATTTCACATATTGCATCAAAGATACTAACCTCCACGGCATCCTCCGCAATTATGACCCAATAACTCAAATGTATATATTTTGTCCCATCACGAAGACCTTTAATGTTGAAGAATCCAGACCCTTCCTTATCCCACATGAATTTATCCAACCTATAGAAATCCCTATATTATAATTCATCCATAATACTAAATACAATCACAAAATATATAATCTCATTTAAAACACACCTTATGAGTTTGCAGTTGGCACCGAAGAACTAAAAACTATTAAAGCACTTCAATTGCTTTGGCCACTGCTTCAAACTAAAAACATCATTCGCATAGTAGCAAAATTACTAACAAATTCCGACATGATACACGACATCTTCCCCCACGGTTTTTTCCCCGACGACTAACAGGTAAGTATAAATTATACATATTCTTCACTAACAAATTTAAATTAATACTAACCATTCTTTACTCATGTTTCTTTTAGATTATTAGTCTTCATCCCACGATCATCTGCAAAAAAAAAACAGAAAAGAAAAAGAAAAAATAAAACTTGTTAAAATTCTTCTAAACTTTATTAATATTTTGCACTAGATAAATATCATAAAATTCATACCAATGTAGTATTTTAATTTATAAATTGTTTTTCCAAAAGCAGTAAATTTCATTATGATGAAAATTTGTAACTTAACTTTCCCCCAAAACTAGCAGTAAAATTAAATTTCTATGTAGTAAATTGATAAAATGAAAATGCAGTACTAACCTTTTGATATTTTCATTCACTAGCACAGGAATTCTATCCAAACTCGCACAGCTCGCCCACGAAGAATTGTTTAAATAATGAATTTCAGTTTCAAGTTTTCACAATCAACAACTCTAACACACGATAACAAGTTTCAAACTTTCCTTTAACCCGGTTGGAAAGGAATTATATACTAAACCAAGCTAACCAACGCAGCTTACTAAACACCACAAATCATAAAATAACAGCATGACTAAGAAAAGAAAACCAACGGTACCCAAACCGGATGAACCCAGTTTAAAACTGGATAATTTATTCTTTTGAAGACTATTATAAAGTCGGTTATAACTCAGTATGCCCTGGTTTGGTTTGCCTCGAACATAAAAACGGCAGAAATATACATAATTTTCAAATTGTCGCTGACCGCCGCCGAATTGGAACAAATTTTATATTTCAAGGGTTTCGTTATGAAAGAAGCAAAAAAAGCGTCGTCTAATTCAGTTTAATTGAAGGGCAATTGCTTCTTTTTAAAAATTGACTTTCGTCTAATTTTGTTTTCGGTCTTTCGCTCACGAGTTTTTTCACTCATTTGGTTCTTCGCGCATGAGAATAGCCCCCATGTATCACATACTGGTGCTACGAGCACGAATCATGGTGGGTTTTGAACCACCGGTCTTTTTCATTAAAAGAAGGCAATGCGCAACTAAATATTTTTTACAGTGGATTTTTTCCAATGCTAAATTGTTCTATGATGGAGCTACAACCCATTGGATGCGACAATTGTTCGGTTGCGAAAACTTGCATCATTTGTACAAAACAACGATAGTACCAGGTGATCTTTCAGACTGGGCAACTTTTAATATATATATTTTTTCTTGTTGGAATGATTCTGATACGTTTTGCCTGCTTGCAAGTCAGAAATAACACTTGTCATTGAAAATTAAAACGTAAATATTTTTAATATTGATCTTAACTAATAACTTAGAATTGGTTATTTGAAAGCCAACACTAGGAAGAAATGGGAATCAATTTTTTGAGAGTCAACGAACGAACGAAATGAAACTAAAGAATAAGGTCGTTATGATACTTTTTCTCTGCTTAAAAATCTTATACATTCCTTATGCTCAAATTTGTCTCTTTGCTGTTTGAGTTTTGATTTTCTATTGAGCTCATTTAGAACTCATTTGCTATAAGAAAGGGAAGTGATTTTCTTCAATTCAAAAGCAAAATTATGAAAATTGTGTAAAAACACATGACTAGCTTTCACTTTCGAATGCTGTCTTTGATTTTTTTGTCTTTTCAGCCAAACTTCAAAGTAACCTAGCGAACATTTTTTCAAATTGGGTTGGTTCTGTTTCAAAAATTCAACCAAAAATTTTTTTTCAAACTCAAATAGTTTGAAGTTTACAAGTTTTTCATGAGAAAGTCTCGAAAAAAAACCGTTTTGTTTTCTTGGTGTTCCATGTGTTTGTTGGCTATGGTTTTTAATGTGTTTGTTTTGAGTGTTTGTTATGTTTGTTGATTATAGTTTTTCAAGTCTTCGTTGGCTTTGTATGGTTTTTTAATGAATTAGGTTTGCCAAAGAAATTGCCCACAGTGAGAAAAGAGGGTTTGAAGATTACTGAACGTAGTGAGTTCTCTTATATAGGTCTTGGTATTTTTTTTTGTGTTTTTTTTTCAAGAAAATGTCTGAAAGTTTGTTCACGCTCAATTTTAATTTTTCACGGTTTGACTTGAGATTTCTTTTTAAGTTCACTGCATTTCTATTGTTAAAAGGAGGGCAAACTCCACTATCGAACAGCAAAAGTGTAAGGGTCACAAAAACGTGATCGACTTCTAATTTCGAAAATCGAAATTAATTATACGATTTTCCAGCGAACTTAAAATTTTACCTATTGATCCAGTTTTCTCAAATTGGGTTATTTTTAGCAAAAAAGTGTGAAACATAAATTTTTCTACGAATTCGAAGAGTTTTAAGGCCATCTATTGTTTTCTTCGAAAATCGAAAGTAAAAGGTTTTCGAAAAAAAAACAAATCAGGTTTTTTTTTGGTTTCCCTGCGTTCATTACTCTTCTCCAACTGTCAGTTAGCTACGTCATCAGGAAAACAATTTTACTTAATCATCTAGTTTTTTAACTTGTTTCGTATTATAGAAGTTTAAAGTATATGATTTTACTTTCGTATTATAGAAGTAAGGATATGAAGTTAATTTCTATATTCAGAAGGCGTGTAATTTTTTTTAAAAAAAGGTTTCATACTGTTGACACTCAAGTTTGTTTCGTGGAGTTTTGATTTCAAAATTGATTACCGTTTTGACGTCAAACTTGGTGAAATTTTATGGCTTCACCTTTTTTTCGAAGCGGTGAAGTATTTGACTTTTTTAGATTAGAAATGAAATGAAATGAAGTGTATTTTTGTAATGGTTATGTGTTGCACTATAAAATTTTATTATGGAATTAATTAAATTGAACAAAATGTGTCTAAAAAGAGGATTTTTTCAACAACGGAAGGTTAGTTTTTCATCATCTTTTTCTGTTTCGACAAACTTTTGGGCGGAATGTTCCTAAAATATTTCTATAACGCGTTTGAGCTTAGACGGTACGTTTTTTTTTCATGCCTTCGCCAGTAGTTCAGATTTTTTATAAAAGGTCCTTTTATTGTTCCAGGAGAGCTCGCAAAGTCAGTGGGCGACCAAAAAATTGATGAATTCTGAGTTTTTTTTTTCAAAGCTACTCTTCTTTCATCCTCGCGAAGTTTCTAGATATGTACACAAGTTCATTCGAGATAAAGACTTGTTACTTACTTGACAAAATACTGGCTGTTTTGGGCTCTTGCTTAAATTAAAGCAATTATAACAAGAAAATTATAAGCACTTAAAATTCAAACTTCAAAGTTGGATCTTTGGATTCGACCTTTTTAACTAGTCCTTTTACTTCAAAGGGGGATTACAACCAAGGTTAAACAAAAAATGCAAGCTTAACCGATGATTTATTTGTTCATAGATTGGAAAGTATTTCGCTATTTCCATTTAGGGAGGGGAAATAGTCAACAAGATTTAATTCAATGTTAGATATTGTTTCGTTAATAATCTCTGAATATACAAATGACCAAGATTATAAATGAAAAATCGCACAAATATATCAAGAAGGCCATTTATACATTTAATTCAAATTAAGGTTAGATTTAGATAAAATCAAAAAATTACATCAAGAGAGCCATAAGTAGAGTTAATTAAAGTATTGAATGGATCTTTGAGTTCGACTTTTTTAAACTATTCCCCTTACTGCAAAGGGGGATTAGTTACAAAATCATAGAAAAACGTGCACGCTTAACCGATGGATCAATCGCTCATAGAGGTGCAAAGTTTTTCCTTTTTACTATACATGGAGGGGAATAGTCAACATTATCTAGTTCAACACTTCATTTTGGCTCGTAAATACTCTTGGAATATACAAATTAGCAAACATAAAAATGCAAATTCCAACAATTATTTCTTGAAAGCCATAAGTCTATTTAATTCAAATTTTAAACACGGATCTTTTGATTCAAATTTTTAAGTATTCCCCTTACTGCAAAAGCGGGAATACTTATAAAGTTATTAAAAATGTGCATGCTTAGCCAATGAAATTTTCGTTCATAGTGGTAGAAAATTTTCCCTTATAACTCAGAGTCAACTAAATCTAATTCAATATTAGAATGTTTGGTCGTAAATAGTTTTCGGGTATACAAATTAGCGAGATTATAAAAGTAAAATCAAACTAATCCTCTTGTATATCAAGGCAAAAACCTGATTGTTCCGGCTGCCCCTAAATTAATATCGAATAGTTTTTGGTAGAGAATTTTTTGAAAAGCTATATATTTTGGACAATATCAAACAACATTGTGTGAAATTTGAGTCGTACGAAATTAATACAACCAAATTAAATTTTTCAAAGAGCGCATAAACTAGTCCAGAGCATGGCCAATTTGGCAACTTTCAAACTCCCAGAACCTAACTAAAATTGACCGGAGATAAAATATCTTTCAAGACTTGAACTGAGGGAGTCAATATGGTCAATGTGTTCTTTAAAGTTAAATTTTAAAGTTGTTTTTAAAGGACATTTAATTTAAATATTAGATCTTTGAATTCGAATTTTGTTTAACTATTCTTTTTAATGCAAAGAAAGGCTTATTTACTAGGTTAAAGAACTACTTGTTCGCTTACACGATGAGTAATCGTTCATAGAAGTGGAAAATTTTTACCTATTACTTTATAGGGAGGGGAAAAATCAACAAGATCTAATTCAATGTTAGATTTTGGTGCGGTAATACTCTTTGAATTTACAAATTAGCCAGAAAAAAAAATGCAAATGTTGTACAATTTCAACTAATCTTTTTGAAATAGATTCGATCGCGCTTGAAGAATCTCATCTATAATGGTCCTAAAAAATCTTCAACCAAAAGAAAAGCGAAAAACGGTTTCTTCGTTCAAATATTTATCTCTTTTTTTAACTGCTTCGTCCTTCTCCGTTTGAAATATGTTGATCAGAATATCATAGCTCTGTGGGTTGGAGGAATCAAAACTTAATCCATTGCTGGCAAAATCTACTGCGTGCAGATGAAAATAGTAATTGTTGAGAGCAGTTGAATTCTCTTTACAGTAAATTGCGGCTTCCATGATTTTGTCGTTTATTTGTTTCCCCTTCTCTGCCAAAACAGATTTTGACTCGTTGTTTGAATTTTCTCGACATTCATCAAACAGATGAACTATTTCCTCTCTCCTTTCTTGGATTACTGAATCCACAGTGCTTAATTTCTCCTTCAATTGATCAGATGTCTAAAAAGAGAAGAAAGTGGTCACTGGATCTTGATGCTTCCAATGCAAAAAGTGTCGAAAAAATGACGTTGGCTGGAAGAAAATTTGCGGCAAGGGCACACAAAATTGAATGATCATAATTTTTCGAAATTGCATCAAAGTAGCCAAAACTCACCCCGAAATGATCAAACCATAGCCATTTTATTCCGACCATTTGAAAAATGGGGAGGAACTTTATATTCGGATGTTTTAGTTTCCACGCAAAATCAACTACCCCAAATAATCAGCGGAGAGAGTTGGGTGATATACCATTTTAAAGCCTTTTCAGCCGTGATTCGATCGACATTAATAAAAATTTCCAAAAAAAATTCCCAGTAGCGAGAAAAACCGGTTTGCTATTTTAAATCTTAATCGAGCAAATATAGCCAGCGAACAGGCATACAACAGCTTAATTATGCCTAATTCAAGCTCTAAAAATTTAGTTTTAAGCAAGTAAAACTAGTTTTTGGAGTTTCTTAGCTCCATTTTGGGAACCGTTTGAAAAAAAATGTTTTACTTTTTTGATTTTTTATTGTTTTTCTTGTAATTTTCTACAAAATTGTTTGTCCATATTGCCTATTTTACTATGGCTGTCTAATATGTCTAAATTATAGTTATATGTCAGATCCTTTATGACACGACGCAGAAAAAACTACACTAATTTGAAAAAAAAAACGTTTTTTTGTAGTTTTTTTAAAGACTATGATCGGATCATTCTGTGCTACTTGCACAGTAACCAGCTATCCTGGTTTTAAATCTGTAAATGAATGAAAATTTTGGCTCAATCAAATCCAAGAATATTAGACAACAAAATTTTGGTAGAACTTTTTTGAACTCACTTGATGGTTGAAACTAACAAAAACGAACCTGATGAACGTTGCTGTAAAGTATAATCAGTTCGTTTTCTTGAATTGATTTGAATTGTTTCAAGCAATCGTCACCCACTCCAAAAATATTACTACATCCTTCTGGAAATTTGTTATTAGAACAACTGTTTAAATCCACTGGCTTTTCAAAGTGGCGGCGTTTTTGCAGATTTTTTAGTTCTTCAATCGAATTTGTACACACATCGATGAGTGCTTTATAACCCATAAGGTTTGCCGTGTTAGAACTAACCGAAAGTTTTAAATAGGTCACACTGTGAATCAAAAGTTGGTAGTAAACCTGATATAGATCTTTCCCAGTGACCCTTGCCGCCTCGTAATATATTTTGAAACAATTAAGGAGCATATTGGACGCCTCTCTCCTTAAAGCTTTCTCTTGCTCTCGGTCGCCACGTTTTAGTTGTTGACTGTGCTCTCGGAAAAGTACACCGAGCGCTCTAGTGTAGAACTCCATCAGTTCGTATTGGTTAATTTTGTCAGCAGTACTTTCTACTAGGGCTACCACGTCTTTCAGATCTCTCCAAGTGCACTGGAACTCATCAGCCTCCGTTGTTTTCTCTAAATAAATGGGTTTTCTAAAAGGGGTCTTGCAATCGGGATGTGTCAGCTGTTTGAGACATTGAAGGAAGTCACTTAGGTCAATCAAGTACTCTGTAAAGCAATTCAATTTTATGAACGAAGCGGTATGCTTTTCTACAAATGATGGACGAAGCATACTCTCAGCAAGGTAGTCCATGATATTCCCCATCACAACTATAAAAACAGAAACGTTCTTCTGACCGAGCCATTCTAACGTTTCCGTTGAATAGCCTTCTGCCAAGTTTGAAAATACAACGACTGTCTTGTCTGCATTGAATGAGTAGTGCTTCATTGAGCTCGAACTTAGTTCTTGTTCGGCCAATGATGTCTCCTTTAAGCAATCCATTTCCGGAATAACGCCAAAAAGCACTGCAATACTGTTTTTTTCGCAAAGCATCTCTAACAAAGGCTTGATATACATGGAGAGTTCACTTCTCAATACTTGAAAACTCCTGATGCGTCTTGCACGGAAACAAAGGCTTTCTATTTGTACAAAAGAGCGGTAAATGTTTCGGAATATTTGGAACAAAAGTTTACATATCTCTTTGCTGGGGTATTGAACCCCTTGCATGAAGGCTGGAATTTAAAAAAATGAATTATTCCTCTCCTTCAGCGCTAAAAAATGCTTTCACCATTCAAAAATTTATTAAAAACTAGTGCTTTGGAGAAAAATTTTGTTTTACTTAACAAGTGTAGTAAATTGAGCTAAAAGGAAACCTATGAGTATATGTGATCAGGAAGTCAGCAACTGCCTATGCTATGAAGTTTTCAAACAATACTCCCCCATCCCGTTTTGGTACAGCTGACTACCCCCTCTGATGTGCTCGACTCAATTTTTGACTGCGTTCGATTTTGCTAGGCGTTACAGGACATAGTTTCGGTTTTGTTGGAATTCAATCGACTGTTGACGAAGGGTAAAAAAAATGCGTCGTGGGGTGGAATCATTTTGCAATTTGATGTATGTTTATAAATGGAGAAAACCGTAAACTCAGATTGTTTTGCTGAATCAGAGCGAAAACCTGAGTGTTCCGACTGCTTTTTAAGGTATATATACAGTAGTGTTCATTTTGAGAAAGTGAGTAGTGTCATTTTGAAAAAAATGAAAAAAAAGTTAGAAAAATTTGGAGTTTTTTTTTCGAATATCATCCCTGCACACATTATTTAAAGTGATACAGTTCGCTTATTGCGAACTAATGAATTGAAAAAATATCTTGCTCCAATTCAGTTTGGCACAACTTCTAAGACGAGTTAAATCTCCGCTTGCGCTGTAATAGCAAAAAAATCTCGCTTGTTGTTCCGACTTTCGATAGGAAACTAACAGAATATTTGTGCTCGGGGTGGGTTTTTTTCTTCAGACAAATTTCGACTTTTTAACTAGCCATTTTTGACGGAATTTTTAAATAACATTCGAAAGGTATTGTTGTCCTGAGGTTAAATTTGAAGCAGATATTTCACCTGTGATCATTTTTCGTAAAGTTATGAGGGTTTAAAGGTCGCCATTTTGACCAATTTGGGACAATTAACGCGCGCTATAATTCGAGCTAATAACGCGTAAGCGGAGATTTAATCCGTCTTAAAAATCGTTCCAAATTGGTTGAAAGAAGCTTAGTTGCCATAATTGGTTTGTTTGAAGGAACAAAATTTATCCCCTTTTGTACTTTAAATGGCGTGCGGAGGGATGATTTTCATTAAAAAATTTCAAATTAAAAAAAATCATTTTTTTTATTCCATTAAATTCTTTAATGCTATAACTGCTCCATAAACCTTAAAAGGCAGTCGGAACATACAGGGCTTCACCCTGATACGAGCAGTCTTGTTAATTATTTCAAATTGATAATTTTTAAATACCAATTGCTTTACAAAAATACATTTTTGTTCCGACTTTCCTCACGATTTAGACCACAAATTTCCATTATAGTTGAAATTTTTCTACTTTACATGGATGCGGGAAGCAAAATGTTTCAGTTTGACCATTTTTTTAAATCTATTTTCTGCCACAAAAAATTTTAAGTAAATTGAAAAGAGTTGTCAATATAAAAACAAGTCGCTTGGTAAATTGTTGTTCTGATAAGAAGCAAAAGGCAATAAAGCATCTCTTATTTCGAGATTTTTTTCTTTAACATCAATTTGTCGAAAAAAGAAATAAAAAAAGATTTTTGATCAGCCGGTCTAATAATTTATGGAACCCGTCCGACTCATGATTCAATGCTTTTGGTCAAATGATTTGACCCCGTTTAAACCATGATTCGATCCTGTTTGCCCCATGATTCTACGCTGTTTGACCCACGATTTGGCTTTGACTTGACCGAAACCTGCATTCGACCGGTTGGTAGAAAATAACGGTAGGTGCTTGCAGGTATTCAGGGTATTCAGTAATTTTTCACAGATAACGATATTTAGTTAGTAAAAGGTGTTTCTAATGGACTAAGAAATTTTTTAAACATCTTCTATCGACCACGCGAGAAATGAAAGACAATGGAATATGGGAAAAAGTTTGTTGACTTTTTTCAAAAAGAACGACTGCTTTCGAAACATCAGAGTGGGTAGAAAACCGGACATTGTTCGAATCTTGAGTCGAGAACTTTATCCCGTGATATTGAAACTTGCGTTTAGTGTTAACGAAAGAAGTCCGTTTTCAACTACTCTGGTTCTGGGATTTTTTGTGTTCCGGTCACCAAGAAGCAGGTAACTAAAGTTTCAAGTGCAATGTTTTTGCTCGCATAATCAGATGCCAAGCAGAATTGTCACTGTTCTAATTGATACTGGAGTTACGATCATGAAAATAAATCATCTCGGATAAAAAGGTGTTAGACTATTTGTTGTTCCAAACACAGTTTTAGAAGGAACGTTGTTTTCCCGTGTATTTTTTCAACTTTGTTTCCACGCAAAATCAGGTACAGCAAATAAAATGGCTTCATCCTATATTAGAGCCCCTTCGAGCGTGATTCGTTTGATGTTTATAAACTTCTGTGTCGAGAAAATTCTTAGTCCTGATTGTAACTTGTAGATTAAAAATCTATCAAATAGGCCGGAAACGCAAAATTGTCAGCTGTGAAAAACAAGATTATGGAGCTTCATTTTGAAGCGTCTTCCAGAACTAAATATGCAAACTCACTCCCACACCGGAGTTCCATGGATAATAATCGATTATATTGTAATTTTATAGTCAGTATCTATAGAATTACAAAAATAATCGATTATAATCCATCAAAATTGATTATAATCCTAGTATTTTCATATCTATATAATCCAGAATAATCGATTGTAATTGATTATAATTCATTAAAAATGGATTATAATCATAATATTTTTTTAAATCGGTATAATCCATTATAATAGCTTATAATCGATTATAATGTAATTTTTGAGAAATTATGAATTTTGCAATTTTTTTCAAAGTTGTCTGATTTCCTATTTCGTTCAGTTTCTACGTATAACTTTTCATAAATTTTTCTTTCCACATATGATTTTTTTAAAAGTTTTCTCTACTTTTTCTATGCTGGAACCTGATCCAAACTATATATTATTATTGGTTATAAATAAGGTATTTTATCCCTATAAAATATTAAAGACTAACCAATCACACTCCATCTAACTAACAACCCACTTATTTGTAAATGCTGAAATTACTTGTATTTTCAGCACCAGAGCATTTTGAATTTAACTTACAACCTAGTTGCTTTCTCCAAGAGACCGACTCGTAACAAATGGTATACTCTAGATCTATTGAGACTAAGAGATATAAGTAAGATTAAGATCGGTATTAGACTAAGAAGTTGCACGAATCTATCAAGCCGAAAAAATAAAGCGTGACGAGCAGACGGTGTACCTTATCTGAAATTACTCTATGAGTTAGAGATCCATCCCAACTCATCTGGTGCGACCAGTGAGGCGACCAGCTTAATAGCCGGCCTAACCCACCGTGCTAGAACACACGCTTTGTGACACACTTCTTATTTTTGATAGGAGGTACTCAAGTGTGAGTAACTCTTTTAAAATAACTCTACTAAAAATAAGAGCTTTTGCGATAAAAACTAATAAAAAATCATAACTAAAAAGAAGAACTAACTAAACATTTATTTATGTAAATTATATAATGTAGTAATATAGACCATACACAATCACGAAGACGAGCATCAAACAGCTAAGACGACCTCATCACACTCAACCCACAGAATGGCTAAACACAACCGATATGCTTCTCACAACCACAACTCAAAGGATTTGAAGTACTACTTGACTCCGAAGCAAAGGACTTCATTGAAACAGACCAATGACCATCTCGATGTTCAAGTATACGTACAGATCCGAGTTACAAGGCATTCCCTCTAAACTCGAGCTTCGCGCCATTCCCAAATCAGATCGAAACACAGTTCTCCACACCGATCAAGAAATGACGATCATAACAAACCATTTGGAAATCAGATTGATTTTGTTGACGGTCTCAGTCATCGCTGAATGACAAAACAATCTTTACGATTCCAGCTTTCTGGAACTTCCGCCTCCAAGAACGGAATAGAAATGATGCTCGCGAAATACAAACGATCATCATCCATCCTCCATTACAGAAAGAAGTCAAAAGAACAAAAACTCTGTAAACCCCGGATGGGTGGAAATTGATCCAAATTATATATTATTATTGGTTATAAATTAGATATTTTATCTCTATAAAAAATTAAAGACTAACCAATCACATTCCATCTAACTAACAACCCACTTATTTGTAAGTGCTGAAATTGCTTGTAATTTCACCACCAGAGCATTTTGAATTTAACTTACAACCTTGTTGCTTTCTCCAAGAGACCGACTCGTAACAAATAGTATACTCTAGATCTATTGAGACTAAGAGATATAAGAGTAAGATTAAGATCGGTTTTAGACTAAAAAGTTGCACGAATCTATCCGGCCGAAAATAAGATAGCGTGACGAGCAGACGGTGTACCTTATCTGAAATTACTCTATGAGTTAGAGATCCATCCCAACTCAATGCTTTGTAAACTCCATCACCTCTTTTAATAACCTCCTTCCCCAATTTACATCCCCCCACTCCCCACACATAGTTTACCCCTCTTCAGTCCCCTTCCCACTCCTTATCTTAGTTTAAACACCCTCCGCTCCCGTTCAATGGGAAACAAAGTGGGAGGGGGGACTGTAACTTGGGGGATGAAGCCAGGAATTCTGAAAGAAAAATCCATCAGGTCATTTATTTTTTCACTGTCGACTGGATATCAGGTTTCCGCTTTTTTCTTTCTAATGATAAATAATGGGGTGAAAAAAGTAGTCACCATTACCTCATGCGTGTCACCATTCATAATCACCGTCATTTTGTAAACTCTTCAGTTTTGGTTAAAAATGAGGATTTTCGAAGCAGTAAAAAGTAAAAAATTAAACATTTAAAACCTGTAATTTTGATTATCAGAGCTTTATAAAAAGAACAGGAGTACTTCTTTTATGTTGTAAGAGTATGAAAAAAAACGCATAGAAAGCCTCACAAAATACGAACTGCATCCGAAATCTCCTTTTCGTCAAGGGTAGACGTGTAAAGTGATATGTCTGATGCAACAATGGCCAAATTGGTCGTTGCACGAGTTACTGTCTTGTAAAATTCGTTTAAAAACTTGGCTTGAGGTGAGACTATCCAAGGAGTAAGAGGTGAGATCACTTTTTTTCCCAGCAAAATAACTACAGTTCCGAACTCGCTTCCGCTGATATTGTAGGTTGACTCCACCTGAATGATTGGTAAATTGGCTTTGCTTTCGTCATGCTCTAAGTCATAAGAAAAAGAACGCAACGAAATTTGTCTTGTTTTCAAAAAGGAGATGAATTTAAATTGGCTTTTTGGAGGCAGAAAGTTGATTACTACAAGAGTTCTTGACATACCTAGTGAAAAATCAGTGTACTTCATTACTGTCTCAACACTTGTTTGGAAAAAAGACTCATTTTCAGAACCAATTGTTGCTTTGACATAAATAACATTAGGCGTGTTTGTCCCATCTAGACTATGAGTCGGTGAACAGTTAATTTCATATTGAACACTGGTGCTGGTCATATTTTTGTAAACATTACTTGAAAAAGTCTGAACTCGTTTTGTAGATCTCATTGCATGTAATAGAAACAAATTTTTAAATTCGGGGGCCAGTTTGTCGTCCAAGTAAGCTATCTCAACCGATGAGAAAAGACACATGTGAGCGCCTTTGACGGAACAAATTTGCACCAGGTTTCGCGTCGAAATGTACTTCAAGGGATCTTCGTCGAAGAAGATAATATCCTGACTCTCAATTTTTTCGGAGACATCGAGTTTCGTCCAAAATTCAATACCTGATCCATCCAACGTCTGTTTCAAGTTTGAAAACAGAATTGGAGCTCCATCTGAAGTTAAGTCACATAAAACTACCTTGCTCTTTGATTGTCGATCTTGAAATATGTGCTTAGCCAATTGAGCTAAGTAAACCATAAGCATTGTCTTTCCAGATCCTTTTGCTCCTTTAACGTTTAAGCGTAGAGGTTTGTTCTCGCTTGAAGGATCTGTCAGACTTTTGAAAACTCTGCCAATTATGTCCAACTGTTCTTTTGTCCAAAGAATGACCTTTGTTTTTTGTCCCCTTGACTTTTTACAAAGTTCCTTATTGTAGCGTATGAGATTTGATTTTTCACCTTCGTCTAAAGAAGTCTCTTCAAGTTGCTTTTCATACCAATCATCTAGATTATTTGTTTTCACTTGAATAGATTGCATGTCATTAGAGGCAATTCTGTGATGTATAAGAGCGCTGTTTCCTGTCATTGAACTCAGAGCAGATAATAAGGCAATGAGTGCATCAAATTTGTCGGATTTTTCTATGCACGGGAGTGCGCGAACTGTTTCTTCCCAGTGCTCTGAGAAATTGTTGAACAAATGAGAATGTCGAAAAACTATAACACGATCAAACTGTCGATCACTGTGACCTTGAGTGTACCACTTGATGTCCTCGGCCAGTTTGTCAATTGGGCATTTAATATCAGGAATGAGGCAAAAGACTGCATGGATCGGAACTTGATTAGTTTCTTTGAAGTCACCAGTGATATAGTTTGATGAAGTTTCAGGACGACAGTTGTAACACATTAAGTAGCGCACGAAATCAGAGTGCTTTTGCATGTCCGATTTCAGGTCCTGAATCTTTGGATTTCGCTCGTTTTTCACGTTAAAAACGAATATGCCTTTCGTTGGGTGTGCAACTATCATGTCAATTTCCACACTTCCAGGGCCCCCTTTTTTAAAATAGTGACTTCCATCAACATTTGGAAAAATCAAGATGCCGGAATCATCAGTTTTCACTTCGTTAACAAACAGTTTGTATATTTTACTCTCACCTATTTCGCCTTTTTGATGTGACTTGTAACACGCTTGCAGTTTTTTACTCAACTGCTCGTTTCGTATCATCATTCGAGGCATTCGGACACACGGTATCGAAGTTTTTTGTCCAGAGTTTTTCCAGTCTGGATACTGGCTTTCCATGAACTTTTTCAAGGAATCATGGTCGTTGAACTTAATTTTACCGCCTCCTGGCCAGTGAATCTCCAAATTATCCAGCTCCCGCGCGAGTTTTATCTTCTGAATTTCAAATTTATTCAGATCAGAATTTCCTTTTGTGAAGGACACTCTAGCTGGACTGGAATTAGACCGTACTAGATCTTTGCTTTTGGGTTTCAACCGCGTACAATCTGAGTTATTGCTTTCTATCACGTTTATGTTAGTCGCATTATTTGTGGGTTCGACATGAACAAGTTTTTTTTGCTCGACATCGTTCAATTCGCTGACTGACTCGTCTTCTCGACTGGTGAAATTTTTTTGACCTATAGCTATATTTGGGAGAGATTTACTGGAACTTGAAGTTCTCTCGGTTTTTGTACCGACATCACATAGCGTTGCGCGTTTTGAGGCCATGTATTCCACTGCTTTTTTTCTCGTCCGCCGTTTCCACTTCAATGAACTTACGAGACTGCGAAGCAATTTTTTCCCAATGACAATCTGACTGCTAGAAACTAGACAATTTATATGCAATGTCCCATTCACAAACAAGGCAGGGCTGCGAAAAATTTTTGAAAAGACATTTCGAAAAAGACCGATAGATATTTTGCTGTAAATACAATTATTTTTTAAGTGTATATGAACGCAATGAAGAAACTTATTTTTTCATGTTGATTTTTTTCGGCTATTTTTCGCTAGTTTTTTTTCTCGGTTTGACTTTTGATTTCTTTTGAATTTTTTCATACTCATTTGCTAAGAGGAAGGTAAATTGCGATCATCAATTACGAAAGTTCAAATTGCGCAAAAAATGTGAGCAATGCTTAGATTCAAAAAGGGATTTCAAATTTTTGATTTCAGGGAATGAGAAAAGTCATCTAATGATCCAGCTTCGTCAAAATGAATTAGTTTTATCAAAAAAAATTATCACTACTAAACTTTCAAAAAATCTCAGTCTGTTTGCGATCATTGACATTTTACCAATTGACTGTTAGTTACTTCAAAGCTATGGCGTCCAAAGGTAGTTTCTAGGTCTAATTGTTTCAAAATGAGATTGCAAAAATTTGAGAAATCGTCAAAAAGCTTTGTTTGCGCAGAATCCAATTTGTAACGAACGATTTTCAAAAGCCCATATAGGAAAACTCAAGGGTTGTTTTCATAACATTATTACCAAATGGAACATTTTTTGAGAGATCAAAGATTCGAGCTCCCCCTTGATCTCCCAAAAGAACTTTCTCCCCTCCTGTTTTTTTTGTAATTTTTCCTTAAATATGCAAGAATTGTACGTACAGTTTTTAAAGTTGCTTCTGGAAAAAGCTAAAATAAACCAGACAAATAAAATTTTCAGAAGTCAACTGAGAATTTAAGAAATTACAAAGTACAACTGTGAACAATTTTGATTCGGGAAACTATAATTTTATAAGTAAAATTGTAGGTATGGAAACGTAATTGAACTGTCGACAGAAGAGTACACATGCCGATAGAAAATTCAAATAAATCCGAGACAACAATATACTCAATCGTATGGGATAAAAGTCACTATGCTTGCGTGGATTTACATAACAGCAGCACAGTAATGCTTCAAGCAGACATTTTCATTTTATTTCCAACTAAGGAAAAGCTGGTTGTGCGAATGTTCTCAAAAGGAATATGAAACAACAAAACTCTACGGTTAAGGGAAATGTGTTACAAAATGTAACGTCTGTTTACGAGGCACGTGAAAATCGAATCACTACAATAAAGGAAAATGTGTTACAAAATGTAACGTCTGTTTAAGAGGCACGTAAAAATCGAATCACTACAATAAAGGAAAAATTGTTACAAAATGTAACGTCTGTTTAAGAGGCACGTAAAAATCGAATCACTACAATAAAGGAAAAATTGTTATAAAATGTAACGTCTGTTTAAAATGCACGTAAAAATGGGGCAGTACAACAGTGCCGAAGTACAACAGTGCCGAAAATGAAAACTTTGTTCAACAGTGCCGAAAATTTGAACAAATTTCAACATATTAAGTGCGGCAATCAAAAATTAAACAGCGATCGTTTACAATCTTGAGTAAAACTTAAAGATTTTGCGCGAGAAAATTTGCAGCTTACACGTTTTGGCGCCAAAATAATTGTTTAATTTGCAGTTGTAGACATATTGGCGCCAAAATTGGAGTGATTTTCTTTGATAATTAGCGTCAGTAATTTCCCGCTCTTCAAAAAATGCGTGTAAATTACTCTGAAATTTTCCCGCATTTTTCGGCACTGTTGTACTTCGGCACAGTTGAACGCCTCCGTAAAAATGAATCACTACTGTTAAGGATAAGAATTTACAAAATGTAACGTTTGTTTCAAATGCATGTAAAAAATGTTCATTGTTGAGTAGAAATTTCTTGCTTCAGCCTTCCAAAAACAGTGAAAACAAACTTATATTAAAAGTACACGCTAGGTTCTACTTTGTGAAATAATTGCCTATCATAACCCACCAAAATTAAATGCAAAATCATCAAAAGTGCGCGTAAGAGATTAGTGTCGTGAGTTTTCCAAAATTCTGTATAAGATGTTTGAAAAAGATTTTGTTTTTAAAACATTATTTGAATTTTCCGACAAAAACAAATTAATATAGAATTTCAAAATTGAGTTGTTAAGCATCATGTTATGGTGCAACGGTGGGTCTTAAAAAATTTAATTGAAGACCAAATATGTTTGTCCCGAACTTATTAATCCGTATGTTAATTTGTGCAGCAACCAAAATGAGAAAAAAAACTTTTTTGTAAATTTTTACAGTAGGGGGAATGAGCACAAAAATGTGTTTTTGTTCAATTTGAAAGTTTTTACCCCCGCGTGCAACCTGAAGTGGAGAATGATACCTTACGATTCTATTATTGTATCAAATAAATCAAAAAGCTTGCCTCATTTTTACTACAATCGATTCATGAGAATGGTTATCAGATTAGTAGCGCGGTTTTGTCCCGCATTAGCAAACTCAAGGTTGAAATCAATTAAAGTCAATGACTTGTTTTGCTCTTGTATAGAAAACCATTGTATGTAGCCTATTTAAACAAAAAACATTGAAATTTTAAGGGTTTGACTGTTCACAAAAAAAACAAACAATTTTCTGGAAAATGGATTATAATGTAATAAAAAGGGATTTTGCGCTGTCTAACAACTGAATAGAATCTGTATAAAAACAATTATTTTGCCTAAAAGTGATTATTGTGCCTAGAATAGGGATTTATGTACTGAAAAAAAGCTTTTTCGAAACTCAAAAAAGTTCAAACCTCTGAAGCTTAATTATTCCGTTCATTTGAAAATGTGGAGAAATTTTGTTTTCAGGTGTGTTTCAATTTTTTTTCTTTATGATTTCCCAGGCATTATTTGATGGCACAATATTAATCGGAATGAGTCTAATTATATATCATTTTAAAGCGCTTTCAGTCGTTATTTGAACGAAATAGATTTCTGTGTCGATAAAAACCGGTTTGAAATTTTAGATTTTTCGTCTAACTTCGAGCTATTAGGGTTTGTCAAAACAAAGTTTGCATATGTACAATAGCTTATTTAAGCTTAGATTATGATTCTTTGCGCCTTTTTTGAAATCGAACGTTTCGAAAATTCCAAAAGTTTCTGCAAAAAAATGGAAAAAGTTTTTGAAAACCTCTTAAATTTTTTTCCTGTTTTTTTTACAGATATTGTTTTCTCAATAGCTTATTTGTCTATGACTGTCGAATGTACCTAGTTTCCATTTTTTCGTTCAGATCTATTGTCAAACGACACAGAAAACGCAATACTAAAGTGAATTTTTTTTTCAAATTTTTGGTCAGAACGTTCTGCTATTTGCACAGTAACCGGTTTGTTCACAATTTTTCTTAAAAATGTACTAAAACTTTTATTATTTGAGGGAGGGCTCTCCCAGTGAGAAACAGTACTTTTATGCGATTTCTTGAAAATTCTCATTATTAAGTTAAAAATTTTAGCGCAAATTCATACGATGGTTTTTGAATGCCGTAGTTACAGTGCTGCGCTGTCGTACGCTTTTGCGAGTGGAATTACAGCTGTAGAGAAAGTTTTAAGTTTTCCAGCACCGATGTTGTGCAATTCCTGTTTTTTAATGAATTTTTGTAACGAACGTTTACAGAATCCGGAGGATGTGCGTCTGGACTCTCTGGTGTTCTGCCACTTTGCGGGTGGACTCGGAGACAGCGAGTACTGTCGGGTGAAGCAGTTCGAGACTCTCAAGGCTCTCATCAAGGAGGCCCTGGACAGCTACAACGACATGAATGCAGCCATGAATCTGGTCTTGTTCGAAGACGCCATCTTGCACATGTTAGTAAGGGTCAATAAAAGGCGATTAACCGTCTGTCAGTCGCATCAATGATGCAATCACGTTGCCTGCGGGTAAAGCAACATTTCTCGACCCATTTAATAAGAAAAAAAAATTGCTTATAGGTCTTAATTAAGGTTCACAACGGCGGCTTTCTATAAAGAGCTGAACTGGCTTCTGGATTAGAAAGAGGCAAGGAAGTAGTCAATTCACCATCGCCTGCCTCGCCCTGGCTCCCTGAAAAATTCGGATATTAATTACTTAAATATATTTCAAGGGTATATTAGGCTGTAATGAGGCGACAACCCGTTCAAAGCGGCAGTTCGTTGCAAGCCGCAATAAGCACTATTCGGAAAAAAACTACGGTACATACCAGTTACTAAACTACGGTACGTACTAGATACAGTTACGGGGAGCGGCGGTGAAGTGGTTACGTCTCCGCCTCCCAAACCAAAGTTCGGATGTTCGAGGCCCACCATGATCCGTGCTCGTTGCTAGAGGGTGAGGCAACATTATCCAGCCCAGAAAATAAAACAAAAAAATTGCATGTAGTTCTTAAGCAGGGGCAACAACAGCGGTTCGCCGTGATGAGCTGTACAGCTCGTATGTTGGTCCTTTTCCTCATGAACAAGTATGGTCTTAAATCTTAAACTATAGCTTATTGCATCTTTATTAGTATCCAATTTTATAGATGCAGAATCAACCGTATCCTGGAGACTTCACGTGGCTACGCCCTCTTAATTGGAGTGGGCGGGTCTGGCAAACAGAGTCTGGCAAGACTGTCCGCATTCATAGCCAACATTGAAGTGTTCCAGCTGCAGCTGAGAAAGGGATACGGCACTGCTGAGCTCAAAGTAAACAGTTTATGAAGAAAGAACGAATATTGACCTTAATTACGCTATACTGTTGAGAATTTTTTGCTACTGAGGGTTTTGAACTTTTCAATTTTATTCACAATAACGTTTAAAACAACAATTTTGATTAATATTTTCTAGGTTAATTTTTTACTGCACAAAACTTGTTTAATTATGATTTTTTTCTTGCGAATAAGTCTTTATATTTGTCTATGTTGTTGGTCGAATGGCTAAACTGATTCGCGATACTTCCTACTTTACTGAAATTAGAGAAGAACAATAGGAGCATGTCATCTTCCATATCGAATCTACTTAACCCCCCCCCCCTCCTCCCACCCCCTATGTATCTCCTAAAGAATCTCCATCCTCTAAATAAAACTGTTAATTAGCACTAGCGCTTTCTATTGAGAATTCTAATTTTGCTGCATTCTGATTGGTCGAAAATTCGACTTGTTAACTCCACTTAACAAGTTCTCCCTTTTTCTTGAAAAGCGAGAGATTGTAGGAGGGTCCTTATTTTTTTGTATTTTTGTTGTTTTGTTTGGATATTGCGGGAATTTTTAAATATTTTTTCTTTTTAAATCTAAATTTAAAGAAGTAAAATTATGTCAACTTGTTGTTCTATTTCTTTCTGCTTTTTAACGGTTAGGCTGATCTGGCGCTGCTCTACCAGAAAACAGCAATTAAGAATATCTCAACCATGTTCCTGATGACAGACGCACAGGTGGGCGACGAGAGGTTCCTGGTGCTGATCAACGACCTCCTGGCCAGTGGGGAGATCCCGGATCTGTTTGCAGACGACGAGATGGAAGGGATCCTGTCTGCCATGAAGAGTTCAGTCAAGGCACAGGGTCTGATGGAGACGAAGGAGAACTGCTGGAAGACATTCATCAGTAAAGTCCAGGCTAACTTGAAGGTACCTGCAAACATCCATATCTTCATTAACTAATGGGAGCTAATCTTTCATGCAAGAAGAACTCAATGCCCCAAAGTTATGTTAAATCAATCAATCTGTAGAGTTTAGTATTCGAAAGTCTGACAGAAATAAGCGTGAAAATCAGTTAGTTTTAGACAGCTAGTTTAAATGATGCAGATTGCATGAGAAGGTTCGCACAATCGGTATTTTGGGCACGAGAATTTTGAATTGAACACTTGCATAAAATTTCTAATTTTTTTATAAGAGTTGAATCATTTCTGGGAACCCATTTAGAATTGTAAGATATAATTCATTCCTTATAGTCAGTTGTACATACTAATCAAAATGTGGTTTCTCGACATAATTTTAAAGATGTTATTTGATGAATTTTTGTTTAAAGTTAGATGATAATTTAAATAATCATTTTATGACATTTTAAAAATTGGCTACTATTCAACTCCATAGGTAGTTCTCAGCTTCTCCCCTGTCGGTTCGATCCTCAGAGTCCGCGCCCGTCGCTTCCCCGCCATCATCAGCTGCACGTGTATCGACTGGTTCCACGCTTGGCCAGAAGAGGCTCTACTGAGTGTGAGCAACCGATTCCTTCAAAATATTCCCCAGCTGAGAGACAAACCAGTCACCAGACGTGCATCATCTTCAGCAGCTACTGCGAAACACAAGGAAAAAGAAGAAGAAAGTAAGGTTATATCGGAAGTGAGAAAACTCATAAGATACACTTAGCATAGTGGTAAGACGGTTACAAGGCAGTAAGTAAACAATAGCCTAGTAATATTCAAAGAGGCCAGTTAACTGGCAAATTTTTCAAGCTTTCTTTTAGCCCATTTTTGCCATGGAAAACCTATCCTAATGATCTCCGAACAGTTTGAGGTACTCGTTTAGAAGTGTGGTCCCACCGTTTTTGATGAGTCCCATTCAAAAGCTCGTTTAGAAGTGTGGTCTCGCCAGATCACTTGAAATTTATTTGAAGTACCTCAAGTGGATGAAAACAAAAGGAACACTTGTAAAACAATTCTTCGTTTGATAAGCTACTAGCGTCTCCTTCAAAATGAAATTATCAAAAAAATCAGTGTACTGGCAAAACTTTAAATTTAAAATTTTCCATATGTCTGATTTAATAGACCATTGTTAGTTTCACGGGACCATACTTCGAAACGAGGTTTTCAACGTGACCATATTTCTAAACGAGTACCCAGTTTTAGTTAGATGACAGCTATAATTTTCTTAAATATGAAGTTATCTCTAATGGAAACTCAAGTATCAATTAACGAAGTGAAGACACGTATTCAGGTTGTGCTACTTTTTTTCTGCTTTTTTTTCCAGGAAAAAGTCTTTTAATTTCTGTATGCTCAAATTTGCTCTTTCTATTTCATTTCAAATCTATTTGAGCTCTGGAATTACTGAAGTACCAATGGCGCAAAAAAACATTACTCTTAACGGCGCGAAGAAACTTGAGTGCCAATGGTTTGAAAAAAAATTTAAATGAACAAGTTTTCTTTCAATTGGGTCATATTTATGATAAAAGGGCCAATCAGAAAAAAATTTATGAAATCCAATTAGTTTTAATGTGATGTGGTTTATACTCGAGGTGCTGATGATTTTTTTAAAAAATTCTATAAATGTCGTTAAAATTGTTGTCTCAAATTATAATTTTCGTGGTTTGACTTATGATTTCTTTTTAACTTCAGTTCATTTCCTCTGTTGAAAGGAGTGCAAACTCCTGTGTCGAACAACAAAAAGGTAAATATCACGAAAAATGTGATCGACTTCTGGTTTCGAAAGTGGAACTTCATTTTCAATGAAATTAAAATATTACCCATTGATCCAGCTTTTTCTCCAATTGTGGTAATTAAATTCAAAAAAAGTCAGTCACAAATTGCTTTAGAAAATCAAAGAGATTTGAGGGCATCTTTTTTTTCTCTATATTTCAAAAATTGAGATTTTTCCTTAAAAAATTATTTTTTCTCTGTTTACTTGCGTCCATTGAATCTTTTGCAACTGTTTTCTGATTATGTTTTATCTCTGAAATTCAAAAGTAGAAAAACATATGAAAAAATTCACACTCTTTTTTTCGAGTTCTTTAAATTCATTGACATTGCTTAAGTCTCTGTTTGTCAAGCGGCTCAAGAAGCATTGTTATAACCAGTTCTTTGCAACTAAATTTGAATTTGAATTCGAATTTGTTTTGAGTAAAGCAAATATGAGTATTGTCAAAATCTCTAATTACAGACAGTTTACCGGTAAGGCGTTCCCTTCCAAAAGTATAATATCGTGTATTTGATCCCCTGTCAAAGCAATGGCAGTGTGTTCGGTCAAGGTCTTGTTTTACTTCTAGCTTCATGCAAGAAATAAATTCATTTTCGAAAAAGCGCTACTTTATTTGGAAATTTAACTGTAAGAGTTATCAGTAAACAAAATGAACAAAATTTTTTTGATCGATCTCCTTTGACTTGCACAATCAAAAAGCGCGACGTCTGGCAAGTGAGATAAAAAGTTTTGATTTTCAAAGAAGCTTCTATGAGAGCTCAAAATGGGTTTTTAAAACTAAGAATCAAAATTTCAATTCTGGGTTACAAGATTTCGTTACTACTAGAATTATTCAATTTGAACTAATTGCAGTTCAGTTGTACCATATGTCTTCGATTTTTGTCAGCAAATTGCCATATGTTGCCCAAATTGTTTCTTATTTTTTTAAACTTAGCTAGCTACAATGATCCAATTCTTGTAATGAAGATTTAAATTGACGTCTAATTGTCTGATGTTTTTAAGCTCAACAATAACTGAAAATCAGAGAGCATAAGAAGCAGGCAATAAACGGAGTGGCTGCCTAAAATTACGCAATTGAATCAATTTTAACTTCAAATGACGGTATGTACGTTGTGTCTATCTGCGGGTTAATTCATGTCCAGCAAATTTTTGAAGCGATAATGAAGCCATGTATACTTGAAATAAAAAAAAGGTTTATGAAAAAAAAATCACGAAGTTCTGTGGTTAAAAGAAACTCAAATGAACGACACAATTGAAAGGATTTTAACTTCAAATGACGAAACGTACTTTGTCTTTATCTGCCGATTTTTTCATGCCCAGCAAAAACATGAAGTGAGAATGAAGCCAAGTAAACTTGAATTAAAAAACAGATTTCCGAAAAAAAATTACTTTTTTCTAGCTTAAATACATTTATCTAGCGGTTTGATTTTGATTTTTTGTTAAAATGAAGGCAAACTCTACTATCGAACATCAAAAAGGTGAATAACACAAAAAACGATATAGATTTCTAGTTTCGAAAGTTGAATTTAATTTTCAGATTTCCCGGGGAATAAAAAATTTACCGATTGATCCAGTTTTGTCTCAAATTGTGTTAATTTAATCCAAAAAGTGCATATCTTAAACTGCTGTGGAAATTCTGGGTTACAAGATTTCTTTTGGTTATATTTTATCTGTGAAACTCAAAGTCAAAATTGTTTGAGAAAAATCAAACTCTTTCTTTCGAGTTCCTTGAATCCATTGACATTTTTAACTCTCTGTTTGTCAAGCATTTTTTGGATCTAAAAACATTGTTATAACCTGTTCTATGCGACTAATTTTGTTTTTAAATTCGAATTTGTTTTAAGTAAAGCAGATATGATTATTGCCAAAATGTCTAATTACAGACAATTTATCGATAAAGCGTTCACTTTCAAATCATTTTACCGTGTATTCGATCCCTTTCAAGGCAATGCTAGTAAGTTCGAACAAGGTCTCTTTTTATCTTTAGCTTCATGCAAAAACACTTTTCACTCTCCAAAGAAACGCACTCTGTAATGTGGAAAAATAACTTCATGCGATATCATTAAATAAAAGAAATAACCGTAACCATAAGCTTAAGTTAAGATTACAGTATTACAATATGCTTTTATTTTGAAATTCAAGTTTTTTTTCAGAGTTCAAGTATTTTTGTTCTATTTACTTGCGTTCTTTGATTTTTTTCAACTGTCTGTTGGATGTTTTTTAGAATACGAATTGCGACCGGAAGTGCTTCACATGATACCAAATGCACCTCTGCGAATTTTCTTTGAGGTAGTCCTAGCTGGAAAAAATCAACCCGAATTTAATTTCTTTTCCACTCTTCGAGTGCTCGAAACAATAAACTGATATAATTACGCTGGGATTATACAATAATTAGCAGTCATCAACTCTTCCGTCACGCCTCGATTTTGAAAAAATAACTAAGGTGTAAGATTTCTAAGTTCATATTTTCAAAAATTATTATTTTTTGGCTCAATGGGTATCTGCTCGTGTATTGTTAGCTTTGTTGCATTTGTTTGTTTTTGCATAGCTATATTCCGTTGCTAACACTTTAAACTGTTTTTTTTTTCTGTCTGATGCCTTACTATTCAAGGCAAATCGAGACAAATTCATGAGAATTTTTGCATCACGAAAAAGTTTTCGCATCGCGGCTTTCCTTTCATTTTTTGTCTGCTAGTTTGCCAAATGATTAATTGTAGTAAAATTATCTAATTCCTGAACTTGATTCGTAGAAGGATCCAAGAAAACAGCATAAAAAGTGAAAACTAGAAAATATTTGAAATTATTTTTCGTGTAGTTTTTAAGTGTGTTTGGGTCCAATCCTGTGGTATTAACATTCGGCGTCAGTTAAAACAGCACCGAGTGTGTTTTTGAGTATGTTTTTATGTGATTAGTCGTTTGCGTGCGTGTAATGAGTTTTGTGCCATCTATAAGCGCCTAGTCTAAGTGATTTAGAATTTAGTAAAAAGTTTGTCCGTAGGTGTTAGCGCTGTAGATCGTACCATTGAGAAAGCAATTGAAGAAGAAAATGAAGCCGAAAATAAGCTCAGTCCGAAATCACCGACTGAAGCCGATAAGAAAACTGACAGTGGCAAAAACGACGCGGTCGATGGCGAGAAAGGAGAAATCGAAAAAGGAGAAAGCAAGGAGGTAGCACCAGAAAAAGATGAAAACGCGAAGGGCACAGGAGGCGAGAAGAAAGCGTCGTTGGCTGCTGTATCGCCGACCGCTTTGAGAGCGTCAGTGTCAGAGTTCATGGCCTATGCTCATGAAAGTGTGAATATTGTGAGCAGAACTTACTTCGAGGTAATAAAATATACAATTTACGACAAATTTTGTTTTGTTTGTACTTCTTCTTGCCGATCATCTGCTTTTTGTCGGACCCCTGCTCAGGGGAGGGGGGTACAACCCTTAGAGTTGAATAGTTTTTTTTCCAAGACACCCAAAAATAAGATAGAAACGTATGAAGTCGTACAATATTTAGCCTTAAAGCATATTTTCAGTCTTCAATCAAAACAATGGAAAATTTCCTACAAACTTCAAAATTGACGATTTTTAGTAAAGTTTCACTTCTAAGCATAAGCTGCGACCCGTGCTGAGTTTTATTAGAGATATTTTTTTGGATTATATCTTCAGATAAGAGTGCGATGCACTTAGTAATAACCAATCTTATCTCATAATAAACCCGAACAATATTTATTGAAAGTTCTGACTATTTTATAATCAGCCCGCCTTTAAGTTATATCGTACATAACGCACATAACTGATCTCAAACACTAATAATCCTTTTACCAGAGTTTCTAAAGGATTTATCGAGACGTAAGAAATAAAAGTAAGAATGATATCTGTATTGGGATAAGTAGTTGACGAACCTATACAGTGGAAAATAGGCAACCTAAAAAGCAGGCAGTGTAATCTTTCCGAAATATTTTTTGGAGACAGCAAACAAGTCCCAGTTCATCTGGTGTGCAACCAATGAGTCTCGCAATAAGTCTAAAAACAGAAAATAAAAGAGTCTACAAAAGAGCTGACTCCGAGTACTCAGCGAAAGAAAATGAACCAAGTAACAGCAAGTTTAGTTTAAACTAAAGGAGAAGAATCTTTGAACACACCCTTACATCAAACATGAAGTTAGTAAAAGCCGTAATTTAAACCATTCTAGACTGTGCATCACAAAATGGTTTTTAGTTTCACCTATGAAAACAAACACCGATTGGAAAAAATCACGCAAAGAAAATCAATTCAGAAAGATATAAACATCATCAAAAAAATTCTGTAAAATACGAAGATTACCAAAAATGGTTAAATTAGTGGAAAGAATTGAAATTTAACCTACTGAAGTGAATCAATTAATTTAAAAACTTGAAAGTAACAGAACTCTCATAGATGACGTCAGCTCATTTTAAAAGTACAAAATCAACAAATACTCCACAAATAGCTTAACCCACCAGCTGCTGATGGACAGACGTCCGGAATATGCTCTACGGCCGGCCTCATCAACCGTGCTTGATCAAGCTGCGAACATCCTACATATTTTTTCAAGAGTGCTTTCAGTGTGAATTAATCTTTATAAGATAAATTACAAAAAGACTAATTATTTCATGCTAATGACTTCATACCTTCGCAAAAAGATTATTAAATTCATGCTAAACCTTAATTCACGACAAAGCATCAATAAATACTCAGGGAATTAATTTACAACTCAAGGACAACTCAGGAATTAAGAACATAGATACAAATGGACAACAACTGTCTACAATATCTTTGGTTGCTTTGATTCATTGGTTCGTTTTATCCCATCTAGATTATGCAGCAAGTTTTTGCCACAAATCAATGCGACTTCAATGATGTCTCCAGAAAAGCAATTGAACTGGGCCCTAAAGCGCACGTTTTATAGATCTAAACTGAAATCATCCGCCGCGCTGCGTAAAAACACACTTTTCAATTGAACTCTGTTTTTAATTCCGATACAAGAATTGTTTGTAAGCTTGAAATGTGTAGTTTATTTATATCAATATCTTACCGATAAAAGGAAAGCTTTTACGAATGCATTAAATTTACTGACACTCAATTACAGGATTACCATATACAATAAACAAATAATTTTTGATAATCACTGTTCAACTGCTTCTCTTCAAAAATCATTTTTCAACTTGCTTCAAAAAAATGGAACTCGCTGCCAGTAAAAATTAAGAAAACTCGACAACACTACTTCAACGTGTAAGAAAAAAAGAAAGAGTTCTACACTGGTGAAATGCAATCTATTCCAGTCAGTACATACACAAATCATGGCGTGAGTTCCGTTTTAATTAAAAATTTTGTATACATCACCAGTATATTTAAGCGATGTTTTTAGAATTGACTTGATTTGAATTTATGTACATTTCTATTTTATTGATGTTTTTAAGACTTAATCTAATGTTTTCAATCCAGCAAAATTATAAAAACTTTTTAATTGTTTGTTTATATACTATTTAAGCAACTGATTCGAAATTTTCAACTAATCTTTATTATACATTACTGTATTGCTGCTTGGATTTTTATGCTGTTGTTTGAGCGTTCTCTCATCGTTTTCTTCATAAATTGCACAAAGTATGTTGTTACCTGATTTTCGCCGCGACAGGGAGCGAAATGAGGTGGACGAATAATACAGAGTGGATGTTTTTTGTTGAGACGAAACCACAAAACGACAACTCAAAATGGGAGGAAAATCAGTACAGCGCCATTGAAAGTGACACGGTCGACCCAATCTCGTCAAACCTTCATATCATTTTTCCATCTCACTCTGGACTCCTTGGTTGACCATCCAAGCATTGTTCTAAGTTCTGCCTTTCCTAGGAAAATTGTACGATCGATCCCAGAACTCATGCTCCCAACTGGCAGAATGAAGCATTATCATATCATTAGACAACTTCTGTATATCAACTGAATCCTTGAATAGATGATAGGACACAGATACAGAAGAACGTGTCAAATCCAAATTGAACTTGGAATGGAGAAAGCTCGTAATTTGAAATGAAAAACTTCTGCATGAAAAAAAGAGAAACTTTTTCGAGTTTTTAAGTAAACCCCGGATGCACACCACGTTCGGAGTTTCTTTTACATCAGTGCTTCTCACTTAGTATCCTTAAATGTGATGACAAAGTATTTTTGCTACTAACCAAACATATCTTATAACTAACCGCACAGTTTTATTGTAATTTCTGTCGGACCGCCTTCAGGTTATTTAGAATAAATTTTTCTCAAACACCAATCGTGTTGTCAGTACTGCATAGGATCTTGTGAAATTAGGGTAAGAATAAGATCATTGGACTAATTTTGTGCACTAAAAAGTTGCTGAGTGGTTTAATGAACCTATCGGGCAAAAAAAATATGACATGAAGACGATCTGAAATTACTCTGAGATAGCCATCAAGTCTCAGTTTAATGCATAACTATTAAAATCGTCCTTTGTTGGAGTGGATGTTTCATGCTAGCTAAGTACCCTATGGGGGAGTCAGGCTGGATAGTTAAAAAGAGATCCAGTTTTCTACCAAATGAGTTCTGTTTAGAACGAAAAGCGTCACAACTATACGACTCCGAAGAGTTTTCTGGAGCTGATCAAGCTGTATGAGAACTTGTTGAAGGCTAAATACAAGGAGCTGGAACAAGGGGTGGTCCGACTATCCAACGGACTAGACAAACTCAAGAGCACCAGCACTCAAGTGTGTATACGATCTAGCTATCAGGGATCAACTGTACATTCACCACCCCCCCCCCCCCCCCCCACCCAAATCGATTTAGGGAGGAGAAAGTATGGATTTTTCATAAGCTAACTTTGAGTTTAGACTAGAATCCAAAAAACCCTTAATTCTATAATAAAAAACAGTTTAAGTCCGTTTGGATGCTCAATAATGCATTCGCATTGCAATTTTTCAAACTAAAACTTAGCTGCGGTAGCTGCCTTAAAAAGAGATTGTTTTTGAAAACTTCTTCTTTGAATTATATACGTCAGACTGATTCACCTACTTTATTTGAGCGTGTTTAAGGTGGACATTCTGAAGATGAAGTTGGCCAAGCAGGAGGTGGAGGTTAAACACAGGAACATTGCCGCAGAGGAACTCATCCAGAAGGTAAGACAACATGCAATGCCTTTTTTTTTCTTCTTCTTCTTCTTCTTCTTCTTCTTCATCGACATCTTCGATCATTGTTTTGTGTCTTCTTTTTCTTCTTCTACTTCTTCTTCTTCTTCTTGACCATTCTCGTATTCTTTTCTTCTTCTTCTTCTTCTTCTTCTTCTTCTTCTTCTTTTTCTTCTTCACCATTTTCGTATTCTTTTCTTATTCTTCTTCTTCTTCTTCTTCTTCTTCTTCACCATTTTCGTATTCTTCATCTTTTTCGTCATCTTCTATGTTTTTTTTGTCTTTGTCATGAAACAACAGTATCTTAATTACTTTAATAAATATAGTCGGAAGTTAGCAACTACATATTAATCATAGTAACTATGATAATTATGATAAAATACTTTCGAAGAAGGGAGCCACTTCGCTGACAGTTTACAGCATTATTTAAAAAAAATCGTATTTTGGAAGAAAAACATAAGGCCCAGTTTTTAGCTTATCATGTGGTGTCAGTTTTATTGAAATAATGAAGATGGTCAAATGGCATGGTTGAATAATCACAGTTCCCGTAAAACTTCTCGCTGCTTTGGTGCACGTTCACATGTGACATATCTGCAAATACGAACAGAAGCAAAGCAGCGAGATATTTTACGGGAACTGTGATTATTGAACCATGCCATTTGACCATTTTCATTGAGATGGCGGCCGCTTCATTTAAATAATACCGACACCTGACGATAGTCCAATAACTGAGCTTTATGTTTTCCTTCCAAGATATGAGTTTTTGAAAATAGAGAATTTGAATACGCGTGTTGCTTGTTAAAATTCGTTTTTTTTCAGCTTCTTTGATTTTTTTCTCGTTTTCTTTTTTCATTATTATTCTTTTTTTAATTTCTTTTTATTTGTCGTTTCTGTACATTTTCAACATAATTTTCATCTACTTGTAATTTTCATCTACTTGTAATTTTCATCTACTTGTAATTTTCATCTACTTGTAATTTTCATCTACTTGTAATTTTCATCTACTTGTAATTTTCATCTACTTGTATTTTGTTTTTACAGGTGGGCAGTGAGAGTGCCAAAGTGGCAAAAGAGAAGGAGTTAGCTGACGAGGAGGAGCGCAAGGTGGCGGTGATTAAGGCCTCAGTGGCCAAGAAACAGACCCAGTGTGAACAGGACCTGAAGAAAGCGGAGCCAGCTCTCATAGCTGCAGAAAAAGCACTCAACACACTCAACAAGGTATTGAACCCAGTCGCAATCAGCAGTTAACCGCATGGACTCGAATAACCGAAATGAGTAATCAATTAATAATTGAAACAAGGCCAAAATCAAAATCTGAATTTTTGTGTGAAATTGAAGTAAAATTTGTGATTGGCCGATTTTGCTTTAATTAATAGGAGAATTACTTAAACGTATCTCGTGCAGTGATCACAAAAATTGAGCAGCTCACGAAGCAACAATGCTGGGAAAATCAGTAAGCTTTTAAGTTGATTATGCAATTTTACTTATTGATCTAGATCAACTTGAAATATTTTTTATCGAAAAAGTGTCAGTCATAGTTTGTTCAAGAAATTCAAAGAGCTTTGAGGCCATCTAGTTTTTTTCTCTGAAAATCAAACGTTTTCCGGAATTTTGGTTCAGTAGACTTATAAAGAGGCCTTTGTTTTGTATTTCATTATTGATCCAATATCTAAAAAAGTCAATTTTAATAACTCTCCACTTGCAATATCTGTATTTCTTAGTACAATTCAATGTTTTTGACTCTATGTTTTATAGACGAAATGCGTAATTTCGTTTTTTTTTCTATTACAGGTGAAGTCTTTTTGTCAATTTTCTTTCCCAAATAGACCATTCACAGCTGTGATATCATACATGACCGACTCGAGATAAAACTAATACTGTAACTCCAAAAAACTAGATTCATCAATTTCTTTTATCTGTTGTCTCTTAGTCCTGCTGTTATCAGCGTAGTTGAATGGCAGACAGAGTTCTTAAGCTGCCAACCGAGGTTTGCAATCCAGTGATTTTGGACAGTGCTTTTATAAAATAAAGCATATATTTTTAAATACATAAATATACACCTCAAGGTTACGTTACTGCTAGCGCAGTAGCAGGCAGTAACACATGCCCGGAAAGTATTTTCTTGACTACTTTATAATAACAGGAGCAAGTTTATTTTCAGTTTTCCGAAAAGTTTTGAGTTCTTGGTTTGAATTTTTGTATTGTTGTCGCCCTATTGTCTGTTAATTCTTGTCTAGATTGATTCTCCAACATGGTTCCATGGCGCGACCTCATCTAGAGTTGAATAACTGAAAGTTCGTCGGAACAGATGTCTCTCGAGCAGCCCCAGTCGCGTTTCTATTGATCTGTCATTTCTTGTTTTTAAGTGTCTCCTTCGGTATTCTTGTAATGTGGCTTTTTGTAGTGCTCCACCGGATAGTTCTTCTTCTGAGATATCCCGTATTGAGTGTTTTACAGGATCTTCAAACCCTTGAGGTTTCTTTGCTTTTCGTTTGCCTGGAGCTTCTCTTGACCACCGTGTCCTGCATAGTAGAATCATCCGATGCTCCTGTTGAAAATTCGAATTTTTCATCCCTTTCACCTGCTGGTTGGTTTCTTCCTCTAAGGAGTCTGCTAATTTTGGGACCCCTCTGTTCAATACTTGATCGGCCAAGTTTTCCTAATCGGCTGGAGACAAGCCACAATTTTTGAAAGTGTCCAGTATTTCCTCTGGTTTTGCGGACAATCCAATCTTCTTCAAATTGCTCCTCTTCTGTGATTTTCGAGGAGTTGAGCATTCAGTGATAATAATCGAACGAACGATAACATAAATATTTGTTTTCAAGTCCGCGTACTTTAAGGAGTTCCGCAGTTTTATAGTCACTTGGACTGGTTCTTGGAGCTGCACTGTGTTTTAACTATTTTTATCTATGAAAGATTTTTGATCCCAGTGAAAAGAAGAATAAATACAGCCTTGAATCGCCTTTCTCTGCGGATTCTATTAACAGCCGATTTCACAGTTTTGCCACTCGGCAACTGATAGAACTTGTGATATCTTTGCGCAATACCGCAACTGTGAATTTTCATTTTTTTACGAAAAAAAAATGGAGTTTTTCCTCTATAAAACTTCTGATTGCTTCGAAAAAGTTATATGTGGTGTTTGTGTCTCGGCCTGGAAAATCTTGTTCTTTTTCTTCGTCCTTCATGCATAATTTCTGGAGATGTAATAAAAAATGTAGCTGACTGTTTGGCCAATCGGCTAACTGAGTCATATTAACATTCGCTGCCCGGGTCGAAGTGCTCGAATTATGTTCCGTCTTTCTCGACCAAAAATCGGTATGTTTCAACCGTCTCGACCAAATTTCGGTATGATTTGACTTTCTCGACTAAACTTTGGTCGACTTTCTCAACCAAACTTCGATATCTCTCGACTTTCATGAGCGACATTTTTGAAATTTTGTTTGCTCGATCACGCATAGATTTGTTTTGACTTTCTTGACCAAAAATGAGTATGTTTCGGCTGTCTCCATTTTCTTCCTCGACCTTTTTGTTTTTTTGTCGATCAAAACTGGTTATGTTACGACTGTCTCGGCTTTTTTTCTCGGCCTTTCTCGACTTTCTCGACCAAAAGTGGGTTTGTTTCGACTGCCTCGACATACATTTTTTAGATTTTTTTTGCTCGACCCCGCATGTTTCGACTGTCTCGACTTTCTTTCTGGACATTTTTTTTGTGACCAAAAATTGGTATGTTTTGACTGTCCTGACTTTGTTTCTCGATCTTTCTCTTTTTTTCTCGACCAAAAATGGATTCTTTTCGACTGTTTCGACTTTGTCTCGTTTTTTCTCTTTTCTCTCGACCAAAAGTGGGTATGTTTTGGCTTTCTCTTCGACTTTCTCAACGTATGTTTCGACTGTGCTTGACCTATGTTTTGACTTTCGCGACCAAAAATGGTTATGTTTTGACGCTCTCGGCCGAAATTGGTTATGTTCCGAGTTTGTGCTTGGCTTAAAATTGCTTCTCGTCCGCAGAATTTCAGTCGGAAATCTGCACCTGCTGGACTTTCAAAGTCGAAACATAAGTCGAGCACCTCGACCCGGGTGAGATAGTTTCTTCTTGGTGGTTCGATAGGTCTTCACAATCACGTTCAATTTTTCGAGGGTTAAGTTGATATATTTTTAAGTTCAGTTTAGTTCCATTGTTAAAAGGAAGGCAAACTCCACTATTGAACAGCAAAAAGGTAAAAGTCACGAAAAATGTGATCGACTTCTAGTTTCGAAAGTGGTATATAATTTTCAGATTTCGCAGCGGAAATAAAAATTTACCCAATGATCCAGTTTTCTCAATTTGGGTTAATTTATTCAACAAACGCCGACCACTAATTGTTCTGAAAATCAAGGAGCTTTCCAGGCGTTGTGTTTTTTCTTTAGAATTCGAGCATTAATTTCTGTAAAGCTCTTGCGTTCTTTACTCCTTTCCAATTGTCTTAGGTATGTTCATGGGGTAGCACTAGAAGATCATTTTGCTTTCTGCTAGTCCTAAACAGGTGCTTTTACCTTCAATGCTCATCGATGATTTATTAAATTAAAAACCCATATTCAATTAGCGATTGCACTTGATGGAATCTCCATTCTAACCATAATTGTATTTGATCTAGACTAATCTTACTGAACTGAAGACGTTTGGGTCTCCGCCTGCAGACGTGACCAATGTGACTGCGGCTGTCATGGTCCTCTACTTCGGGGGTGCAAAAGGTCAAGTGCCCAAGGACAGGTCATGGAGGGCCGCAAAGGTCATGATGGCAAAGGTAAACAATCATTGTTAAAAACCCACAGGTCAAGGTCATTTGAGTACTTGAATAGACGTAGATACGATACTGAAATATGTTTGAGACAAATCAAAGCTTTGCGAATCATTAATGTTTTCTGCTAATCAATTACATAAGAAAAAACTTTTCCATAGAGAACATTTGCTTTCATAAAAATAAAAATGCGGATTTTCCCTCTACTTTTCCCCCTTATAAGTCACGATCCGGAAATAGCTGGGAACTTGGATTTTTGCAATTGGCAGGGTTTTCATAAAAATATCAGCATTTTAAAAATTTCATAAAAGAAATCGTTTTTTGTGCGCATCAATACAGCGCAACATAAGTGCTTTGAAAAAAAAATATTTTAACACAGGAAACGAACAAAACTTAAAAAGACATCAAAAGTAAAACCGCAAAAAGATAAGTTTGAGCCTAAACAAAATTTAAAGACTTTTCCTTGAAAAAATTTAAAAAACATCTCGAGCTAAATAAGAGCTAAACTAAACTTGCACGCCCTAAATTTTTGATCTGCAATTGATCATAATGGATTATTTTTGTCTCGGAAAACCAACGCAGTCGATTAATATCCATGATACTCAGATGCGAGTAACCTTCGTTTTAACAAAGGAAATGAACAGAAATTAAAAAGAAATCAAAAGTCAAACCGTTAAAAAAAATTAAACTTGAGTCTGAACTAAGTGTTTATATCAGGTGGATGACTTCCTGTCCAATCTGAAGAACTACGACAAGAATAGCATCCATGACTCGGCCATGAAGGCCATGCAGCCATACCTCAAGGACAAGGCATTCACCAGGGCCAACATAGAGAAGAAGAGTCTGGCTGCGGGCGGGCTGTGCGACTGGGTCATCAATATATGCAGGGTATTATGTTACGTCTATAAACACACTTTTCAGAATTTCGTGACCCGGGTCAATGCGGGTCAACCAATTTGCTTCTAAGCATTAGAGTTCGACGCATTTTGTACAGTGCTGATTTAAATTAACCGGACAAAACGAGCTAAACTTGAAATTTAAAACGCGTTTTTCTCAAATTGGGTTGAGTGTAGGTGAAAACTTTTGAAGACAAAACTTGCTTAAAATTTTAGCAGAATTAGTATAGTGTAATTTGTTTTAAGAAATTGGGCCCAAAATTTTACCCCAAAAATGGGACATTTTGGTTTTTCTTAGTTAATCAGAAATTACGCCAAAAACACCCAGTCGATCACAGCCATAACTATATCAAAGTGAGCCCCTTACGTAGCCCAACAAAGTTTAAGGAGAGTATACTCTCCAAAAAACATTGCAAACCGTTTAAAATTTAAACTAACTTTTTTGTCTATCAAACAAAAATAAATTAACTTATCTACAATGTTTTGGAGAATATACCCTTCTTAAAGTTTGTTGGGCTAGATAAGGGGCTCAATTTGATATAACTATGTCTGTGATCATTTGGGTATTTTTAGCGTAGTTTTTGATCTACGAAGAAAAGCCAAAATGACCCATTTTTGGGGTAAAGTTTTGGGCCCGAATTTCGCAAAACAAATTACATCATTTTTATTTTGCTAAAAATTTCAGCAAATTTCGTCTTCATAAGTTTTCACTTAAACTCAACCCAATTTGAGGAGAACGTATTTTCAGTTTCAAGCTAAACGCGTTTTGTCCGGTTAATTTAAATCGGCACTGTATGTTCGTGTAGAACATGTTGCCTTAGTGTTGTTTATCACCTTTATGATTGTTGTTCACAATTATCCATTATCATTGATTACAATCTTTTATAATTGTTTTTGCTTAAAGGTCATAATTGTTCCCACTCTTTTGCCGTTGCTTAATTTTATGGTTACTTTTCATTGCATTTTATAACATTTCCAAGTTCATTGCCCTTTTTTCATAGCGACTTAAGTTTTTTAGCAACCAAAAAATTCCATGAAGACATTTATAGGGGTTATTTTAAGTTTTTTGTAGTTTTTGAGGGAAGTCTTTACAAACGCTTACGCTCAAATGTTTTTTTTGGATCTTTCCGTTAATGGCCTCTCCCCTTCCCCAGCCTATAGCCCACTTCCCCATTTTGTCAATTTTTAACCGACTTCCACCCTATCGTTGTGCTTTTATTCATAAGTGGATAGAAGCAAAAATATCTCCATATTTTGTTCGTGTTGAGATAAGCGCTGCGTAAAACTACGAGCTATTTTTAAAAGATATACATGCTCTTTTTTTGAATCGACCAAAGTGATTTTACGGATTTGACATTTTCTGTGCAAGTTTAATTGTTTTCATCCGCGGGAGGGCGAAGGGTATTATGGGAAAGATTTATTTGGTCTTCAATCCAACTTTCAATCCAATTTATCTACTGTAAGGAAGGAAATAACACTCTCCGATTAAGAAAGTATCTGTGGCGGAAAGGCAGTGAGTGACTTTTATTTTTTTTTGAAATAGAAATTGATTTATAGTTTTTCCAGTGGAACGAAAAAATTGCCTAATGAATCAATTTTCTCAAATTTGGTTTTTTTTATGGAAAAAGAAAAAAATACTACTCTTGGGATTTAAAACTTTTCGGACTTAAAAAGCTCTAATAAAAACTGTTTTTCAAAAATTTAAAGACGAGTTTTATTCACAAGCAAGATGATTGTCTTTTTTGTTTTCCTGAGTTTATTTTTGTTTTTTCAACTATATAGCAGATCTAACATATCAGCATTGTCCATCCATAGCTATATTCTAACTAGTTGCAGAAAAAAACTTGAAACAATGAAAAATTCAATAGATTTTGTGGGCTGATAATGACGTTGATACCGGCAATGTCGCCACCAGCGAAAAGAAACAACATGATAGTTGACGAGGGCAGTGATTGTTGCGAGCAATAGAAAATTTTAATACAAACAGCTTAATTGTTTTAAATTATATCTGTATTAATATATTTTTTTATTCATGGGGTACAATTTAGACGGGGACTGCTCCAAACATTTAAACATCGAAATGATCTTCGTTTTGAACGTGCAACCACCTAAAGCTATCATTCAAATATTTTTCAAAAAATTGAAGACGAGTTTTATTCATAAGCAAAAAGATTATCATTTTTGTTTTCTTGAGTTTGTTTACGTTTTTTACCTTTATAGTAGATCTAACATATTAATCCAGCATAACCATCCATGGCTATATTCTAACTAATTGCGGAAACACTATGGAAAGCTTGAAAACAATGAAAATTTTGGTAGATTTTGTGGGCTTATAGAGACGTTAATAACGGCAATGTCGCCACCAGCAAAAAGAAACAACATGATAAATGACGAGGGCAGTGATTTATGAGAGCAAGAGAAAATTTTAATACAAACAGCTTAATTGTCCTAAAACCTATCTGTCTTTCGAATTTTTTCTTGTTATTTATGGTGAACAATTTAGAGGGGGACTGCTCAAAACCTTTAAACATTCAAGGATCTTGTTTTTGAACATGCAATCACTAAGAGACATCATTCAATTTTTTTTCAAAAGTTGAAGACGAGTTTCATTCACAAGCACCAAAAAGTGGTATTCTGTGTTCTTGAGTTTGTTGACGTTTTTTCAATACTTAGTGGATCTAACATATCAATCCAGCATTTTCTACCGATGGCTAAATTCTGGCTTGTAGCGGAAAAACTACGGGAAGCTTAAAAACAATGAAAATTTCGATATATTTTGTGGGCTTATAGAGACAATAAAAACGACAACTTTTCCACCGGCAAAAAGAAACATCAAAATAGTTGACGAGGGCAGTAATTGATGCGAGCAAGAGAAAGTCTCAATACAAACAGCTTAATTGTTCTAAAACACATCTGTCTTTTGAAGTTTTCTTGTTAATTACGGTGAACAATTTGAAGGGGACCGCTCAAAAGCTCCAAACATTCAAGGAATCTTGTTTTTGAACGTGCAATCACTAAAAGCCATCATGACCGACTTAAACTTTTTGTCGACGATTTTGATGATCTAACGATAGCTGTTTGCCTTTGTGAAAACATGATCGGAGAAAAAACCCATCAGATAATTACAACCTTAAAGCATTTGACAAAACAATTGTCAAAAATCAGATAAAAAGTGCGTTTTAGGTGGAAATTGCTTTGTAAGGTCCAATGTGAAGCATTGCCAGAGGATAGTCTGCAAAATTAATTTGGAAAAGTGAGTCATCACTCTTGTTAAGGGAATATTGTATACTTGTAAAAGTTTGCGTTGTATACAACCTTTCAAACAGCAGGTTTTGAAGTGTTACTTATTGATAGAGACGAAATAATTAAAAGCTGAAACGTTAACTTGCGTTGAGTTCGATGTTGATAGATAACCTCAATCCAATAGGTCCCATGACCAAGTCTTACGATATCACACTCTTTTAAAACGCTATGATTTTGACATAATGAGTTTTGAAGTGTACTCGCGAAACGGCTTATAGGTCTTCATGAATCGGTCCTGTTATTGCAACATCTTATGCCATGGTGTGAAAAATTAAAAAGTCATTTAGTGATCATTATTCATTATTAGCGGAGCTTTATATTGAAAGCACAAAATAGTTTTAAAAATCAAGATCAAATTTACGTAGAAGTTCATTTATTGATCCTCATTCAATATAAGCGGAGGTCTATTTTCAATCAAAAAAATTGTTTCCGAAATCTGGAAAATTTTTACCAACAAAAATGTTTGGCCACTAAAAACCTCGAATCTTTTTAAATTTTTTGTGCGTCTTTTTTATCAATTTTTTTTCATTTTGGTCGATTTGGGATAGAAACTCAAATTGACTGAAAAACAAAATCTGCGTTAAGTTCAATTGATTGGTTTTTGTCTTTAAAAGCACTTCTCTCAACAAAATCCAAGCCAAATGGATTAGAGATGGTTTCGATCGCAAAATTCAATTCCAATATGTTGCTAAATGCATTTTTCAGTGCTTCAATCAAATGCATGGAAGATTTTTAGGAAGTAACATAAAACTCGACGTGGAATAAATTGAATTTTTTTTGCTAGTTTTGTTAAAACATTGGTTTCCTCAACTCAAAATAAATTTGCCACCATCAACTTTTTCCCTTACTTCGAAAAATCTTTTGCACCAATTGACGAATGGGAGTATAATAAGTCAATATATAGTTTAGAGAGCAAAAGTTCTGTTGATCATGATGGATTAAATAATAAATTGATAAAAACTGCTGCACCAGTCAACCGACAACCCTTATCGCACACTTCTAACAGTCGTTTCTGTGTATGTAATTTTCCCAATCAGTTTAAATTTGCTAATGTAGTTACCTTGTGGAAATCAGATGATAAGTTTGACCCTAATAACTATACGCCGATCAATCTATTGCCAACATTGAGCAAAGTTTTTGAAAAAATTGTATGAAAAAGATGATTCGGTTCGTTGAAAACAAAATTTTCTGTCAATCCTAAAATTTGGTTCCAGAAAAATAAATCATGTTCTTATGCAATTTTGTCGATAATAAATGACCAAATGACTGAAAACGTCGCCAAATTAGTGAAAATATTATGAAATTAGATATTTTTTGTTTTTCAAAAAAGCTTCCGACCTGGCTGATTACAACATTTTGTTAACAAAACTGGAACAATATGGTTTCCGTGGTATTATTTCGAAGTTTCTTTTTTAGAGATGGTCCTTTTTAGAAAGTTGGCCTTTTCTTATAACACAGATAAGCGTGTGTCTTCTATGAAAAATTTCAACTGCGGAGTTCCGCAGGGGTCAGTATTGAGACCATTGCTTTTCATAATAAATTAACGAACTTCTTGATCAATTGTTTACACGCAAGCTACTCCTTTTGCTGACGATACATCTACTGTAGCAACTACAAAACAAGTTGCAGGGCATTCAGATATCCGGTTCGTTATAAAATCCGCAGGTGACTGTTGGAAAGCTAATGAAACATTTTTCAAACTTGCATATGCTTCTATATGTGTTTTGCAAGTCCGGTCCGCCAATGGAGCTTGACTTTGCATCGCAAAAAGTTCAGGAAGACGAGGATTTAAAATATCTCGCGGCTTCCATTAATAAAAAAAATGACTTTTGTTAACCATAGTGATCATGTATGTAGAAATTGGCACAGCTCAAAGGTGAACACTATTTTGCGAGACATTTGTTTTCTAAGTCTCTTATTTTCAAAAAAATTTGCGCTTTATCAGTTATAAACTCTGGATTTCTGATTGCCTGGGCTTTGTCTGAAACGTCTCTTAGCAAAGTTCAATTAATGCAGTAACAAATTTTAGAACAATTTTTTTTTCAAACGAAAGTTTGATTAATCAAAATGGTATTTTCTTGACTACAACTTTGATACTGTTTTCGAATTCTTTCACGAACGAATTTTCACGGTGGTGGTTATACAATATCTTGGAATATCTGTTTGTAAATTACTTGACTTGGATTCTCTCGCAAAGAAGTGAGAAACTCGATCAAACAATAAAAGTATTAGGAATCTGCCAGTAGTATGCAGTGAATCTAGAAAAAAAACTGTAGGTTTTTAACTCATTAAAGCGTACAAGTTTTCGGCAATGAATGATAAGTCTTTGGAAATTGCAAGTTGTTAAATGCGATCTTTACTTGAAACGCTGGAAAGAGAATTTGCCTGATAAATCTTTGGAAATTGCAAGTAGTTCAATGCGATCTTTACTTGAAACGCTGGAAAGAGAATTTTTTAACAGATAACGAAACCTTGACGCAAATGTTTTTTTTCAATCTTGCACGTTTTGCTTGGAGTTTTTCCCCTCTATACTACTATCAGTTTCAGTTTCCTATGGATTACATCAAGAGCCAATGCGCTCGTCGTATAATGACTTTGCGTAACATTCATTGTAAAGATTTGAAATTCAATTGCTTGAATTGATGTATATTGATATTTTGCCATACAAAATAAACTACATTAGAGTTGATAAAATTTTTTAGTTAAAAAAACGAGAGCCAAAAAAGTTTTCCTGGCGCAATTACATATTAAAATTGAGGGGGAGAGCGCTGCGTAAAAGGCTAAACCTTAAACAAAATCTTCAAGAAAGCACCCGAATGGGCGCTCGGAAAACGTTTCGTAACTTTTCACTTGAGGCGTGCATCATCTTGGAATTTTGGCAAAGTATGTTTCAACAGTGCGGAAAAAAATGACATGAAACTTCAACATAAAAAAGAATAACAAATTTTTTTGTATTTTTTAATAAGAGCATTCTTTTCTAAATTCTACTTAGAAAAATTCAATTTTTTTTCATGAGCTTAATTGGCTTTTTACTTCCCCTCCCACCTGCAAGTTTTTACATGTAAATTTGTTGATTACATTGTCCGATTGCTATAAAAATTTGCATACCGACTAATAAGGCCATGACAAACATATTTGGTCTGCATACTCAACCTCGTAAAACCACTCGTTACACTAATATATTGAAGGTCGTGTGAGGTGGGAGGGGGTCGGAAAAAGAACCGCTTAATTATTTCATTTCACTGTTTTGTGTTTGTTTTTCAAGAATGGTTTTTAAGACTTGCTTATGCCAATTGTCATTGAGTAAATTTGAGGTTTTTTCAGGAGGAAGCAGACGTGTCAAAATTTGGTTATTGAGCATGATGAAACTTATTTTTATTTTTCAACAAAGAGTTTTCCCGCGGTTTGACATAGGATTGCTTTTATGTTCTTTCAAAACCTCAGGAAAAATAGCCTTTTCAATTTTTTCTTAGGTTTGTTCAAATTACCCGCCTTGATAACAAATTTTTTGATTGATGTGTTCGCATGCAACGTAATGCGTTACATCGTTAGATTTTAATACATAGCTGTATGGCTCATAAGTTGAAAAAGACTGCTTGCATCAGGGAAAAACCCTAAATGTTTCAACTGTCCTTTTACATGCAGAAATGGGTTTTATGAAAAATCTTTATCACTGTTTCAATTTATTTTTGAGTCGGCGAACTTAGTTCACTCTCACATATGTCGTGATGCTTGTTTCTGTTTTATTTTTCAGGGGAAGTCTTAAATAGGTCTCAATTTTGATTTTTCGCGATTTTTGTCCAAATAGGGTCTAAGTTTTTTTCTTCCAAATAGGGTCTAAATTTTTGTCCGAAAAGATTCTTTATAGTTTTCTGGGAGCGCTCGGAAACTAAATTTGGTCGACCTAAAAAAGGTCGCCAAATTTTTCAAACGTTTTTCAAAATCCGCCTCCCCCTGCCACTCGAGAAAATCCTAGGTCCGCCCTGAAAATAAACATTTGGAATTTATTGTTCAGCGTTCTGGTATTACGTAATTAAGTGCCTAATATTTGTTGTTCATGCGATTGTAATGTTCGTATGGCCAATACGATGAGAAATTAATATTGTGATCTGTAACTAAAGGATTGAAAGTTCGAGGATTGAAACTTATAGCTGTATGGCTTATAAGTTGAAAAAGACTGCTTGCATCAGGGAAAAACCCTAAATGTTTCAACTGTCCTTTTACATGCAGAAATGGGTTTGATGAAAAATCTTTATAACTGTTTCAATTTATTTACGAGTCGACAAACTTAGTTCACTCTCACATATGTCGTGATGCTTGTTTCTGTTTTTATTTTTGTCCAAATAGGGTCTGAGTTTTTTTTTCCAAATAGGGTCTAAATTTTTGTCCGAAAAGATTCTTTATAGTTTTCTGGGAGCTCTTGGAAACTAAATTTGGTCGACCTAAAAAAGGTCGCCAAATTTTTCAAACGTTTTTCAAAATCCGCCTCCCCCCTGCCACTCGAGAAAATCCTAGGTCCGCCCTGAAAATAAACATTTGGAATTTATTGTTCAGCTTTCTGGTATTACGTAATTAAGTGTCTAATATTTGTTGTTCATGCGATTGTAATGTTCGTATGGCCAATACGATGATAAATTAATATTGTGATCTGTAACTAAAGGATTGAAAGTTCGAGGACAAGCAGAAATAGTCTTTTCTTTCTCCGATAGTCGAAAGACTTGGGCGGATTTAGGGGGGGGGGGGGGGGGGGTGGCAGTTTTTCTCACAAACTTAAGTGTTCCTCCTTTGTTTTTTTTTTTCATGACATCCATTTTCGACCAACCAACCTTAAAAATTTTTTTAAAGCGCCTTTGGCGGCGCCATTATATTTTAACTATGAAGGAGAGCGCGCGCAACAAATCAATTTTTCGGCAACATTTTCAAAAAAAAGTGCGCTAAAACGCATTTTTGACCTCATTTTCTAAAGTTGCGGCGCTACATTTTTGTCAAAATAGATTCTTAAAAAAATCATAGATCCGCCCCTGCTTAGTAAAAAGTTTTAGAAAACCTAGTATAACAGTTTGATATGATTATTTTGGTGTTTCAGTACAACGAGGTGTACCGAGACGTGAAGCCGAAGCGAGATGCTCTGGTGGCCGCAAACAAGGAGTTGGCAGCCGCACGGGAGAAGCTAAACACCCTCACAGGCCTGATCAAGGTCAGTTGAAAGTAGTTTCAGTCGAACTTTGAAACGCTCAAGTTTAAGTCGAGTTTTGAAACGTTCAAGTTTTAGTCGAGTTTTGAAGCGCTCAAGTTTTAGTCAGACAGTCAGACCTTAGGATAATTGGATCAGGCATGAACTAAAAAATCACAGCAATTGAGACGGAAAATAAGAGGAAAAAGTAGAGGAACTTGTTTTGTTCTGTGTGTTGTAGGCGCTGGACAAGAACTTGGCGGATCTGGGGAAGCAGTACGAGGCTGTGAGTAGTGAAAAGCAGAGATGTCAGAAGGAGGCAGACCTCACTGCACACACTGTCCAGCTGGCCAACAGACTCATCTCTGGACTCGAGAGCGAAAGTGTCCGCTGGAAGGTTTGTTAGTTAACACTAATCAAATGCCACAGAAATAAGATCTATTTACCAACTTATAGACCAAAATAGTCAAGCAAACGCGTTTTCAGGTAGTTTTCTGTTAAAACGCTTGCTTGTTCAATAAGTAAATTCCGACAACAAGTGTAACTTAATCTTACAAAGTGAAATCCAAGAGTGATGATAGAGGTCAACCAAAGGTGACAGACAGCACCAAAGGCCCGGACTGTCAAGAACGAATTAGCACCACAAATGAAAGCTGATTGATGGCTAGAACTAGAGAACCCCCATGAACTGAGTTAGCGTCATATGACATTCCCCCTTCGATAAATGAAAAACTTTAAATGAATGAAATAACTGATAGATGTAGATTGAAAAATATACAACACAGTGGCCATCATCACTGATTGTTAGATTTTTAAATAATGAACAAGTTTTTTATTTACGGGTTTTGAACAACTAAAAAACCACTCAACCAGTGATAAGGTTTTGAGTTTTTGACCGCACGCTGGTCAGCCCTCTCCCTGGGCTCACGGCATTATTAAAGTTTTTCACTTTTGCTTATTTTTCTCCGCTGTATCTTCTTTATTGGATATGTTCTCTATCATTAACCCACCCATCTTGGTAACCGAAGTTCGTTTGCGTCCACTGCGTCGCGACGCCGTCTCATCCTGGCTGTCTTCTCGGCTGCTATATGAAACTTATCGAGTTTGTCGTGCTTTTCGTTTCTTATCCGCGGGTGCCGATTTCTGAGGATGCCAGAATCGTATCATTGTCACTCCCAGTGTCGAGTGGCGGTTTTCCCATTTTTGCTGATTGTTCCTCTCCGCCTCGTTTTTCGTTCAGATCATCGCCCTGTTGTCCGTTTGGATCCCTTGTTCCTCCGTTCCTGTGCCTGCCCCTCTGGTGTTGTTGCGATTCGTTTGCCCGTTTTGCCGAGATAATTGGCAGGTTGTCGCTTTCATCAGTTTTTGAGCCACTGTTTGGAACGAATCGTCGCTCCGATCGTTTTCGTTGTTTGGGTTCGACTTCGGCTTTCTTTTTATTTCGTTGTCTTAATTCCTGCGGTGTCGGCGCTGCTGAATAGTTCCTCATGGTCTTCTTAGATTGTGGTTTCGTTGCCACACCCAATTTCCTAAGCCACAACCCCGTTGTTCAGCGTAAGCGTATAGGCACTTTTTGATTTCATTTTTCAATGAATTGATTTATACCTTTTTAGGTTCCGATTTCCGGTCCGCTGATAGAGTGAGCCGGACGGCCCTGGTTGCTCAGTTTGTGCCTTTGGCTTCAAGATCGCCGTTTCATCGTCTCGATCGAGGATTTGCCTGTCGGTGAGCCTACGCGGGTGGCTTTTATGTTTTGGATCGTATGTGAGATCCGACCTCACGCCCCAGTTGGTTTCTGCGGGATGTGGCATATCTGTCACGCTCGGCTCAGCTTCATCTAAACAACTAATCTTCGTTTTAGTCACTCGAGCCCATTTTAGATTTTGAAAGGATTGTTTTTTCGTTCGATTTCTTAGCACAGTACTCGCTGCCTTGATGCGCCTCGAATGTCGAGATTTTCAATGTAGCAATCTTTAAAAAGCTGAGGGCACCATGGGCCCTTTCGACTATTTTCTCCAAGGGTTCTGAATGGTTTTTTTTCCTGCGAGAATGTTAAATCAATATTTTTAGGCTAGCGATGGTACGCTCTACACATCCGTTTGCGCGGCGATCATTTACTGGCGATTATTTGATCTCGATGCCCTCCCCGTTGCAGAAGGCTTGTAATTAGTTCGACATAAAACTCGTTCCCTCATCCACGTGGATTTTCCTCGGTACTCTGTGATATGCTATTAGGCATTTTTTTAAAAGAAATTTCAGGATTTTATCTGATCAGTTGTTTCCACAGATCATCGTGGACGGCCAACGTGAGAAACGATCTACCGCAACTAGTACCTACTTCTTAGATTCGTTCAAGTAGTTAATGTGACCCCAAAAATCAAGTTGAACCGATTCGTTTGGTTCTTTTGGCTCAGTTATTTTCCCGAACTGGTTTTTACTTAAAGCGGTTTTAGATTCATGCCGGCGGCTGTTTATTCGGCACAATCTTCTGCTATCGAGGCAATCGAATGGTAATTATTAGGATACCAGACTTCCTTGACGGCATCAAAAATATTCGTTTTCCCGCGGTGGAATGCGTGTATCCAGTTGTTACTTGCGCTACTAAGGTTCATAGGGACAACAAGTTTTTCATTCATCCAAAGAACATTTTCGTTTAGTTTAAAATCGTTTACAAATTGGGAGTAAAACCGATTCATAGCAAACACTTTTTCGTGGAATTTTCGATCTTTTGTTTTAATTAAGTCTCTGATTGCAATGAGTTGTGGGTCGAAAGCGTTTTGCGATTCAATAAATCATAATTTGATTAATTCGGTAAGGGAAGTGATTTTGCTCACAATTTTACATCCCTCTGGAACAATTGATAAACAAAGATTATTGAGCTCCACTGGTGGATTCATTTCGCCTTTGAATGCCGAAGGTAATGATAATGTAGTAATACTTTTCATCGATCTAGTTTCTTTAAAAAACGCCTCTATGTTTGAAAGTGTTGGTAATTCTTCTACTTCATCACCACTACTAATTAAGCTCGGTTTTTTTTAATCTCTCCTTTTTTCTAAGCTCCATTTTTATTTGAATGTTTGAATCCAACTTTTCCGAGTGACTATTTTTGACTGAGTAATAGCACCGACTAAATTCTCGTTCGTATTGCGTAACCGTCGGTTTATGCATATTTCTTGCTTCTGATTGGCATTTCCGCTCGCATGACTTGACTCCTTCTACTGGCATGTTGCGCGACGAAATTTTACATGTTTCATTTCTATTAATAGATGACTGGCTATTAATAGCAACATTAGGTCACTTGGATGTATTATTACGTAATTTAGGTCCCCTGGATGCGCCATTCTTGAAAAAACCGAGAGCGGTACGTATCGATAGAATCTTTGCGACAGTGAACATGTTATCGTATCTACCAATCGGCGTTGCTTCATTGCTCGGGTGTCGCGATAGGTAATCCGCCAACCCAATTTCCGCCCCGGCTTATGTACTTATCGAAAATCGAAGGGAAATAATCGGTCCAACCACCGCGTTAGGTGACTAAACATGGTCTTGTTTTTCTTCTTATTGCCGTTTGAGAGTGAAACTAACTCTTTGTGGTCCGAAATTTCCTGCACACTATATAGTTTCGAACATATAGCCAACATCTCTAATTTATTCGTGGAATACTTTTTTTCCGCGTCGTTTAGGTGCCTTGAGGCAAATGAAATCGGTCTGCAGCCTTCCGGTTTTAACTGCTCGAGTCCGGCGCCTAAAGCCTTATGGTCAAGGTCGCACACAATTCCTAAATCCTTATGATCATTAAACTGGCGTTTTTTAACAATGTTTGCAACTTGTTTCTTTAAATTTACGAATGCTTATTGACACTCCGTCGTCCAGTATTGACATTAGTCGTTGTTTTTGCTTAATAGGGGGCGTAATGGTGCGGAATATTCGGCCAAAGCCGGCAAGTACTTATGAAGACTGTGTATCGACCCGTATAAACTGTTTCAATTGTGATAAGGTACAAGGCAGTCTGAACGTTTTGATGGGTTCTGTCTTCCGCACCAAGAGTGTTACTCTCGTTAGTGTTTTTTTTTGTGTCCCAGCCATTGACATTCCCTATGTGCGAATTTAGATTTCATGAGTTTTAGGGACATATTTTTTTAATCCAATTTCTTCTGAATTTACTCGACGATCGCAATGTGGTCACTTTCGGTTCCCTTGGTAACCACCAGAATGTCATTTATAAACGCATGCGCCTGCGGGAATTCGAAGAGGATGCAATCCATTACGCGCTGAAATTCGACCGGCATCGTGGTTAGCCCATAAAATCTTGCTTTACATATTAGTCGACCGACCTCCAAAGAGGGAAAAATTGCATTGTACACTTGTTTCTGCGCTTAAAGGAAATTGACTGTATGCGTACGTCAATTCCATTGTCAAAAAATTATATCCCCCGGTTTCTTCTCACTGAATGTTTGCCCCATGGTGTGCATGAATTCTTCAATATTCGGCATTTGATAATCTTTTTTGTGCACCTGCTTAATTAGTTCCCTCGACTCGAGCGTTTTTTGATCCGTCCTTTTTCACTGTTATTACAATTGGCGATACAAAATATTTGTCTGAACATTCTTCCAACTTTTCTATGTGACCTTGTTTGATTCGTTTGTCAATTTCGTTATCCACTTTTTGTTGAGCGTTATTGCGACTCGCCGACCCTTCTGTTGTACTGAGGTCAATTTTTCGAAAAATTCCTCCTGCACTTTATAATTTCCTTTTTTCCTACCCTACGAAAAAAGATTTGGAAACTGCTTACTAAAGTAGTCCTGCCTTGAAACCAGTTCCACGTCTTGTCCCAATTCCCCCTTCGGCTCCTCATCAATAGACATGATCTGATCCCCTGGTGTATTTTGGACCAACTGCAGGCCCAACTGTGACCTCACATATCTTCCGATGATAGCTGGCCGATTCCCTCCTTTGACTATTATCTTCACATCCACCTTCCATCCATTCGACTCCACGACTCCAGAATTACCGTCCTGGTTCCGATCAGCTTCAGAGGATTATTTCTGTAATCCCGAAATGCATTATCTTCCGCCTAGAGTGCGTCCAACTTCAGTTTTGATGCTTAGAGGGTTCGCCTCAATTCTCCGATGGTGAAGATAAATATTGGAGACCAACTATCTATCCACACCCAACTAGCTTTCCCGTTTTTACGAACTGGCAGTTGTGCTCCGTCAATCTTTAGTTCGGCGAATTTCTTTTGTCGCACAGCCATCACCATGTAGTCACCCGAACTATCGGAGTCCCACGAGTGTACTACTGGCTTACGTGGGTTTACCCAACCGATGGAGCTCTCATGTTGGGATGCCAGGTCGTCCAGGTCCCCAGGACTGTCGTTGCCATCATGCTCCTGAACCATTCCCATTGCCTCGCGTCCTCGCTGATTTCCGCATTTCCTCCTGCAGGTACGTTCATAATGCCCGATTTTTGGCAAACTTTACAAGTGACTCTCTTGGCTGGACATTTTTCCGTGTGCTCCCGTGTAAAATTGAGTTGGTCGCAATTATAACATCGATTGATTGGCACAGTGCCCCCTCGATTCGATCCGCGCCCCTTGTACGCGCCCCTACCCCGCGGACAGCTGTTCCTGAATCCTTCTCGTTTTATTCCAACTGGTTCTGATTTTATTTGAGTCGCCCCCAGCTGATCCCTGGTCCCCAGTAATTCCCCCGGTGGATGTTGCTACATACGATTTTGCGTGTTTGTCGCCACGCTCGTACGAAAGAGCAATTCTGTAAACTTCCTTCAGTGTTTTGGTGGATCGACACAACTCAATTTGCGCATCGCAATTGTTCATGTTTACAATAAAAACGTGTCTTAGAATTCGATCTTTTAATGCTCCAAAATTGCAAATGGCCGCTAGCCTGCTTAAAAGTGAATGAAATTGCTCAAGACTTACATTGATCTGCTGTTTCCGAGCGAGAAGTTGAAACTTTTCAGAGGTCTAATTTCTTCCCTTTTTGAATTCCGCCTCAATCGCGTCTAACATCCTCGGGTAACGAGTTGTTAAAAGGTCCAAATGGGGTCGTCTATTATGCAGTTTGTCCTGCCCCTTCTCGCCCAGGCACAATTCCAAGTTGGTTAATAAACTTTGTTTGCACCAACCGGTTTTTCCCGTCCATATCCGGCGGCAAAGCATGAATCTGGGTTTCTATCAGCGTGACCGCGAAATAGAAGTTCTTCGGGTTTCTTGAGTGCTTCGCTTCCATCCCGCACTGGAATCTGTTCTGCCAAAGCTCCCATAGCATTGGCGGTTATTTTTTACACGAGACAAAAACCAATCCCAACATGTTTTTTCTGTTAGATACTTATCTTATTAGTCTAAGCATTTAAGCATGTCGCATAAAATTTTGACCATCTCATTTTTTTTAATGTTTAGCAATTAGGTAAACTCTTTCTGAGGATGGAAAAACAAAGTTTTTTCACTTTCAAATCTCATGTCAAGTTTGGTTGTATGAATTGCGTCAACAAGATGTGGCTTATATGATATTTCAAATTTGCGTTGTATCCGTACACTCGCAATAAAAGCAATTTTTTTTGCTAAGCTTAACCTCAACTTTTTTGTGCTCATTGATAAATTTATTGTTCTATCATTCTAGAAGAAATGTGCATTGAATTGATCATATATGCATAATTTCTGCTACCCATTTTGGTTTTCAACGGAACTTTTTGAAATGACTTCTTGCAAGATCACCTCCTTCTTATAAAATTTTTGCAAGATAACCTCTGACTTAAAAGATCTTTCAAGATAACCGTCTTTTGTAAGAACCTTGCAAAAACTTTCGAGAAAACCTCCTTAATTCATTAGAGTGCAGCGTAAGCAAAATCAATCCAAATCAAATACTGGGGTGAAAGATCCTAACTTGGTCTATTTGGGAAGGGGGGCACAGGATCCTTGGGCTCGTTTATTTACTCATTCTCTTCCCCCACCACTTTCTCATGCACCCCAAAACCGACAAAAAATAATTTCGCGAGTGAAACATTATTTTTTATAAGATTTTAGGATTTTTAGTTGTAAACGAGTCCTTTTCTGTAGAACATGTTGGAGAAGTATGACGTCATGCGGACCACTCTGATCGGGGATGTGCTGATGACGTCAGCATGTGTGTCCTACTTGGGCTGCTTCTCCAGGAAGTACAGGGAACAGTTGGTCTACGAGAAGTGGCCATTCAAACTGAAACAGTTTCCAGACGAGGTCAACAATTTAAAACACCGTATTTTGTTATGCACTTGTTATGGCTCGGTAGGGATTAATTAAAAATCTCAATTCACGTAGTTATACATACGAATCCTATTTATTATTATTATTTTTTAAAATTTATCGAATCTCTTATCTATATTTATACTTGTATTGATTGAACGCACTCATTCTGTTGCTGGAATTTGTTCAGGCCAAGATCCACACAACTGAAGGACAAGATCCCTTTTCCCTCCTCACTGATGGAGCCCAGATGGCCCAATGGGAGAACGAAGGACTCCCAGGTCAGATTGAGACACTTATTCAAATCATAGGCTCTTTTCCAGTTCCCCCTCCCTTTTCAAAATACCGTGTTTTATGTTTGTTTTACGTGTTATTACCGCTAAATGCGTGATGTTACGCTGTAGATTATGAACAACAAATCTGTTTACAGATGTCGATTTGTTCACCACGCCAAATTTCATTGCATTATGACAACGTTAAATAAGCTTTTCAAAATTGAATTTGAAAGGGGGGAACTGGAAAAGAGCCAAATCATTTTGACCAAATAGTTTCATATGATAGAATGACACAAAAAGAGCAAAAAATGGCTTACAGATCGACTCTCAAAAACAAATGATGTCACGAAATGAATTGTCATTCATCATTTTCATTGTCATTATGTACAAAAAATAATCCATTATATTGAAAACAAAAATGGATTATAATCGATTATAATGGATTATAATGGATTTAAATTTTTCCAAAATAATCGATTATAATCGAATAAAAATCAATTACGAGGTCTAAATTTGACATGGTAATCGATTATATTGACAACATTTTAGTCAACGAAAATCCATTATAATCGATTATTACACATGAAACTTCGGTGCGGGTGTCGATCTATCATGATGTAATAATAAAAAGTTTCTGGACTTTGCATAGGATCTATTAAAGGCTGTTAATCTTGTGCAAAGGTAGTCAGTTTCAATTACTTTTCCCTACATTTCAAATAACTCAGTCTTCAGTTGTCGCCGTTATAGCATCGATTCCTTCCAGTTTCTTAGAATATAATTACTTTTTGGATAATTTGTAGATCTATGTCAGCTATGTGTACGTGATTGGTGTGTATGGTGTGTGTAGGTGACAAGATGTCGTACCAGAATGCGTCGATAGTGACCAACTGTGAGCGATGGCCCCTCATGATTGACCCCCAACTGCAGGGCATCAAGTGGATCAAGAAGAAGTACGAGAAGAACACCGACAACTTCACCGTCATCCGATTCGACCAGAAGGGGTTTGTATAAACAGTTATCATCTGGAGCAAACAATCAGTTTTTTTCAATAGATTCGAGGAACTTACTTTGTTCGTTCATCATTGAAAATGCATCATTTGTCAAACGATTTGAATATCAATGAACGAAATCAAGACACTTATTTGGGTCGTTTCGTTGGATGTTGTTCTTTTCAGCAAAAATTTGTCCAAAGCTAAAGATCTTTTTTGGTTATAACAGGTATTATGAAAATGTACGGGATTGGTGTTTTTTATTATTATTTTTTGGGACGCTTTGGAAAATGTTTTCACTTTTTTCAAAAATGTAGTTTTTCTCAAAAACGTCTCTACCGATTTTCAAAAAGTGTTACCAATCGAGAGTTCGCCTACTCCCCTGTGTGCCTGCATAATTTCCTAGTCTCTTTTTTACCTTACCCCACTTTCTACAGCCTTCGAAAAAGTGTGGAGGGGGGGGGGAATTTTCGACCCAAATTTTTGGATTTTTTTCCATTTTCTCGAAAATTACAATCCCAAATCTGAGATTTTAGGTTCAACGGATATAACAGATTGTGGAAAGCTCCCCTGAACAAGCGCTACGCCCAGTTTTTTTTCCATTATAAGTTATGGCTCTCGGAAAAATCAAATTTTGGATTTGTTGACCGTTTTTTGAAACTTTTTGACTTTTATCAAAAACTACCATACCAAATCTGAGATTTTAGTTTCAATCGAAGGTACGGGTTGAGAGAAGTTCTCCTGCTCGCGGTTACGCCCATTTTTTCTACGCAAAAAATTGACCCTCGGAAAAGTCAAATTTTCGATTTTTTGACCTTTTTTCGAAGCTTTTAGACTTTTCTCGAAAACTACCCTCCCAAATATGGGGTTTTGGGTTCAACGGATAGAAAAGTTGTGGAAACTCCCCAGCATAAGCGGTGACGCCCAAATATTTTTACACAAAAAGTTATGAGCCTCGGAAAATTTGAGTTTTTTACCGTTTTTTGAAACTTTTCGACTTCGCTCGAAAATTCCCACCCAAAGCTAATGAGCAACGTTTTAAGCATCTTTCAACCTAACAAGCTTCACTTCAAGTAATCACTTCACTTTTTTGAAAGAAAACTGAATTAATTGATGGAATTAACAGGTTTTGAAGTCATTATATTGGGACTTACTTTTCTTTGCTATAGGTCTGTTTTTGAAATTACCCTTGTCCTTCCGCATTAATACAAAAGTTTCAAAAATTATCAAACAGGTTTTTCCAGCTTAAGCTGGCCTCAAGTTTATGTTGGTTTTTGGTTTTTTGTTTTACTTTCAATACCATCCTTTTTTTAGGTCGACTGAACTGATTTTGTGAGCGCTCTCACAAATCACTATGAAGACCCTAATTTGGCCAAACGTTCTGGAGATCTAAAAATGGTACAAAACGGTGACCCTTTGGGTCAGTAGGAGTTCAATTACCTTTAATTTAAAGAGACGCCAGTTACGCTCACCGAGGAAGGGCATGAAAAATCTAGAATGAAAAAAAAAATCGGAAATTATACTATTCCCGGCGGAATATAAAAAAATTATATGTTGAAATAGTCCAGATTCTTTAAATTATCAATCAACGAAATGACTTAGGTACAACAAATCTCAAGCAAAGGGTTTATCCAACAATTTTTATGATCTATACATTTGTTATGCTAGTGATTGGTTATGCAAGTAATTTTGACGCTCCAGCGTTTGTTGTGCAAGTGATTTATTTGCTGTATCTCAAAAAAATGATTGATTTTAAAAATAAAATTTGAGAGAAAAATGACTAAGTTTAATCATAAAAAACGGGTTCAACATACCAACAGCAAAATAAAACCGCATTCGGCATAATTCTTGTTTAAAAAAGTTTTTGATCTGTATTTTTCCTGCAGGGTTTTGTTTTCTACACTTGCGAAAGGAAGTGTCTTGTAATGGAGAACCAGACTTTTTCCCCTCAAAGAATTTTTCTTACAAATTTCACCTTCTTTTCTTACGTTCTTGATCATTGAAGCTTAGGAATTTCCAATATCGTTGACACTTTGCCTAGGGGTGCTTTTTTGTAAGCAGCTTCCATTCTTATCGCAAGTGCGAGTGTTGGTCAATGTATTTTCAGCGGGGACTTCTTTTTTTAAATTTTTTTAAATAATTTTTTGGCTCAACTTGTGTCTGCTCAAAGATTGTCGGCTTTGTTGCCTTATCGCAGATTTTTCTTGTTTTCTAGGCAGCTTTAATTGAAGATGGAAATGCAATTAATGTTAAGTGTAAATTCAGGGGGCATTGAAGCTCCGCATAGATCTTTATGATTTTTTTTCTTTTTCGGGAAAAATCTGTAAGCTTTGTTCACGCTCTGTTTTGATTTTTTTGCGATTTGAATTTGGATTTTGTTAAGTTCAGTTCAGTTTTGTAAAGGGAAATCAAACTCCACGATTAAACAGCAAAAATTTAAATGTCAAGAAAACCGCGTTCGACTTCTAGTTTTGCAAGTGAATTTTAGTTCAAGATTTACCAGCTAAATAAAAAAATTTAGCAAGTGATCAAGTTTTTTAAAATAGAGTAATTTTATCCAAAAAATTTCAATCATAAATTGTTCAGAGAGCTTTAAGGCTATATATACTTTTTTGAAAATCAAAATAGAAGTTTTTTCATAAAACAAACCAGTGTTTCTTAATTTCCTTGCGTTCGTGATTCTATTCCAATGGCATGTTGACTAAGTTTATTTTTAGGCTCAATCAACTGCTTGCGTTTAAAGCCAGGCTTAATTAACTCAGTAAGTCGGTAATCCCTAAAACTACGCCTGACTTAAATAATTATTTTTGTACTTTTTTCTGCAAAAATTTAAAGTATGAGAGCCAATGAAAAAAAGCGAGGACACTTATTTAGGTAGTGACGAATTTTTTGTCCACAGTAAAAGTCTTAAAGTTTGTTCACTTCCAACATTATTTTTTTTTGCAGTTTGATCTACAATTTTATAGGCTCGCTTCATCTTCGCTGTTAAAGAAAGGAAAGCTCCAATATCGAGCGGCAAAAATGTGCAGATCACGAAAAGTCTTAAGTGACTTCTTGTTCCAAAAATGGATTTTTATTTCTGAAATCCCAGCGAAATACAAAGATTAACCATTGAGTTAGTTTTCTCTAAATGAATTGATACTATGAAAAACTTGCAAATCATACTCATTTCTTTACACGTGATACATGTTTTTTGATACATGTTTTTTGATACATGTTTTCAATCTCATGTATGTTTTTCTTCAGAACTCGAAATCTGAAAAATCTTCAATCACGTTCCTCTCGGTTTCCTTGAGATCGCTTACACGTTTTCAACCATTCTTTTACATTTTCCGAACCATCTGTTGGCTGTGTTTCAGATCGACCAAATATTCTACCGCCGAATTGGTTTTTAATGACATTTTTTGGCTTTTTTGAACGATTTGATTAAAAAGTTGCAATTCTTTGGTGCGCACTCTTTTCTCTCGCAATGAGGATATGTTGGCTCCAGAGGCCTTCGGAAACAGTTTAAAATCGGTCAGCCATAAAATTATTTCTTAAGTTACAACCAAAGGTGTTCTTTGGGTATTCACGGTCACATCCCTGAGGGTTTCGTTCAAATTGCCCGCATCTGCCCCTTTCCCCTAAAACTACTCCCACTCAAATAATTATTTTTGTACTTTTTTCTGCAAAAAGAAATTCAAATTTTTTGTGTCATTAAGCAATTAAGCATATGTGCAGGCTGCAGCATATTTTCATGAATTATTAAAAATTCATTTCTGTCCGAAGTTTTTCTAATTAAAAAAAAAAGATTTTTTGTTGTTGTCCGCGGTTACCTAGTCTCGATTGAGATACGCCCAAAAGAGCTAACTCTTAGAGCAGTTTCTGTCAGAACACGCAGTCTGTTTTCCATGATTTTTTTTTTGTTTTCCGCCGGATAGTTTCACACATCTCCTTCAGTACTATAAGACTTAATCTTTCTCTTTTTTTTTACCATTGTCTCAATAGATTCGTCGATATTTTGGTGATAGCGAAGTTAGAGTGAGCTGAGCTTTAGTTTGATTAGTCTATGAAGCTGTCTGATCAGTTTAATTGACCCAATAAAATGTTTGTTTTAGTCTTGAGTCATGAATTATGATTGGTTAGCTTTAATAACGTTACAATGTCAAAATCCAAGATGAAAAAAAATAAAAATAAGAGCTGACTAATTGTGAAGTTCTAATCAAGTTGCAGTGTATAAATAATAAAAATTATTAGATATTTGGACGTGTTGGAGCAGTGCGTTTGTGATGGTCATGTGGTTTTGATAGAGAATATAGACGAGGATATAGACCCGATCCTGGATCCCATCATTGGCAGAAACACCATCCGCAAAAACACCGCCATCAAAATAGGCGACAAGGAGATAGCATACAACCCGAACTTCAAGTGAGCATACACTCATAAAAATTTCAAGCAACACTTTCATTTAGCTTAATTGGTTTATAAAAAAATCGTATCGATAATCTTCAAGAATATTCTAACGACAATCAGATATTAAGTTCATGACAATAAAACGTCTAAATCTGATCGATAATTCCAAACTTTCCCAAAGTTTTGAGTTCATTGCCAAAGGCGTCTTTCCATTTTTACGTTTGGAATTCTTACTGATGGATAGATGTTAATGGCTCCGCTTTTTGTCTATAAGGTTGATTCTGCAGACGAAGTTGTCCAATCCGCACTACAAGCCGGAACTGCAGGCGCAGACAACTCTGATTAATTTCACCGTCACCCAGGACGGACTGGAAGACCAGCTGTTGGAGGCAGTTGTCAGCAAGGAGAGGCCAGACCTCGAACAGAGCAGGGTTGGGCACCAGAATATAGCATTAAATTCGTATGATTAAATTCATTACAAGTGTAGATTTAGATTTTTTTTTGCGATGTGTTATAACTCGCTGTCTTTCTCTGCAGATAGTGTCCATTTCGTACTGTCTTATAAATTATCAAGGCCGCTTGTGTTCGGCACAGTAGCGTGCGAAGGGGGGGGGGGGGGCGAACCCCCTCTCAATTCTGGTAGCCAAATTTTTCCAAAGGGTCCCCCTTTCGTATAACTTTCCGGCATCCATTTTTGGCTAACCAACCTTAACGTTTTTCTTATTTTTGATTATTTTTCTTAGTTGAGTTTCCATCCACACACTAAATTTCAGAACTAACGTTTTTGTTTTTTCAATCACGCTGGTAGCAACACGGGTTTTTTTTTCAGAAGTCTAATCACGAAATTTGAATCAACAAAGACCAGCAGTGCTCTAACGCCAAAGGTATTTGTCTTTTAAATATTGATTGACGAAAAATTGAGCTAGTTGAACTCCAATTCAAGGACAGCTGCTTGTGAGTTGAGAATGGTTATACTGGTCTGATTAATTGTCGCGACCTTGCCTTGTTTTATCAGTAGTAAGGAGCATGAAGTGTGGTTACCGCAAAAATTATGACGAGAACTCACTGTGTCATGAGCAACTTGCGAGACGTCCTTGAAATTGTGCAATTGATACCTCGGGTTTCGAAGAAAGGCGTCATTTTAAAACATTGGAATGTTCCAATAGAGGAAATTCTAGGCATTTCTCGATTTAAGTTTTCTTTACCTGACATTTGATTTCGGAAGCAGGTTATGTTATGACAAGAAAGTCTTTCTGCACTTATGTCTGTTAAGATTGTTTAAAAAAAGAAAAAACAAGTACAAAAAAACCGACAGTCCTTAATTAAAGATTCGATTTTCCGAAATTTCAAAACATTTGGTGTTGCAAGTCCAAAACCTCTGCAACTCAAGAAACACTATCAAACTTGCGCCAGGGCGGATCTAGAATTTTCTCGAGGGGGGGGGGCGGATTTTCGAAAAAATTTCAAAAATTTTGTTGACCTTTTTTTAGGTCGACCAAGATGATTTTCTGAGCTCTCTTAAATCACTACAAAGACGCCATTTTTACCTAATTTTCTGCGCCGCTGGTAAAAGTTTGAAAAAATAGGCTTGAAAAGGCATTTTTAGACATTTTTGGAAAATGTTGACCAAAAAATCGCGTTTTTTCGGCGCGCGTTCCCCCCTCAAAATTTGTATGTTTTGGCGCCAAAGGCGCTTTTAGAAAACTTTTAGGGTCAGTCAGCCAAAAACGGAAATCTCAAAAAGGGACCCTTTGGTTCGGCAGGGGGTCGAATCCCTGAGAAAGGGGAGCGTCCGCATAAACCCAACCCCCCTACCTAAATCCGCTGGTGTATGGGGCAATTTTTTTTCATAATGTAAATTATCCAAATGAAAAATGAAACTAGTTCCCAAACTCGAGTGGTTTACAAAACATGAGCTTGTGGATAATTACGTATATGGTAATGCAGCAGTTTTATATGTTCAATTACGAACATAGCTGGGCAACTAATACTTTTTTTATAGGTAGTCTGCCATGTATTATATCTGCTGCTACACTCAAATCGCTGTTTTGAGACCAGTTTTGCATCAATCGCCGGAATCATTTAAATTAGATTATTAGGATGCACAAAAGGTCCTCCAAACCATAACAAATTGTCACTAGTCGATAGCCAATGATTATTTTCCAACATAGTGCAAGACTCTGGCAATATTCTTGACAAGAAGTGTATACATCTTATCAGAATCTGCAATATTTTTGCAAGATCTTGCAAGATATCCCTAATTGAAAATAAGCAAAAGTTTGCAAGGTCGCAAAAAGTATATTAGCTGAAACCAAAAAAATTATACATCGTGAAATTGAAGAAACAGCAATCTATTAGCAACCTATGCATACAAACAGTCCGCGGTTTTTAAGTTTCATTGTAGTTTTGTTTTCAAATATTTTGAAACGTGGCTATCGATTTCTCAAATCTTGTCGGCTTGTAAAAAAGTATGTTAAATCTCAATCATACAAAAAATATCATACATCAAAAATAAGGGAATCTGTGAAAACATCAAAATAGCAAGAAAAATTATAATATTCAAGCAAAAATGTATCAACGAAAGACATGAAGTACTTTTTTTCATTTTCTTTCTTTTTTATTTTATGAAAAATTGAACCATAAATAATATAATTTAACCTAAAAATTGAAATGGCCCCGAAGTTGAGTTTTTTTATACAAAATTGGATCATTATACTCTTTGTTTCAAAGTGTTTTAGCTGGATATATTTTTTTCATCAGAACCCGAAAATTAAAAATTGTTCAAAAATTGTCAATCAATTTCCTGGGTTTCCTTTTTCTTTTACATTTTTTCAACCTTCTGCTGACTAAACTTGTTTTGTTTTGTCTTTGATTGAGTTGGTGGGATAGTTCACTTGGTCGATGTGTGTGAAGGGTGGGGCGGTTGCGATTTTTCACTCACATGGGCCGCATATTAGGCCATAATAACCCGGGTTGATTTTCATACACCGAAAATGCTTATCATACAATTTCATGCATCAAGTGTATGAAAAAATGAAAGTAAGACTATTTTCGTACAATTTTGAAAAATTATTGAAAAAAATGTAAAGTAATTTTTGTGGCTGTTTGATTCTAATAAAACAGTCTGGTGATGAAAAACCGAGGTTTTTGTTTTGAACAAAATGTTTCATATATTTCCCATACATGGAAATATTATGACTAGCATTTTTTGATGGTGCTCACAAAAGTTTTTCCCAAGTAATTTTAAAGTTGCCCCAAAAATTTTGTTGCCCTTTTTTTCAATCGCAAATCGAAATTTGTACTCAAACATCAAACATTTTCCAAAAAAAATTTTGCACGCAAAATCTAATTTCTTTTTGTGTGCGTAACGTAATCCTGGATACACTGATGTCGAAATTCTTTTCCTTTTCGCCTTTTTTGTGTGCTATTTTTTGTATGCTATGTTTATGTATGCCTTGGTCAATATCAGATCATTTAAAAGTTCAAATTTCAAAAACATTCATCGTTGAACAAAATTTGGCCAAAAAAATTCAGCACAAAGACAATTCAGGTCGTTTACTATGTAAATGCAAGAACGTGCAACCTATGGTACTTTGAGTAAACCAAAGTCTTTTTCACTTGCATTAAAAAAATTAAAATTCGAAAAAAAATCCACTTTTTGGTTTATGTAAAATGCTGGTCATAGAAGTTTCTTGCAATTTTCTGTACGTATGGAATTGTATGGTAAGAAATTTTTCATAATGAAAATTTATGATACGAATTTTTTGTCGACCCAGTGGAGGCTTTATCTAATTAAAAGAATTGAACACTTACGCATACACGAAATTTGTACTTTGCTAACTATGTCCCCCCTATTGCAATAAGGTGGGGAAAGTTAACAAGATCCATCTAATTTAACAACAAACTGTTTTTTTGCCTAATTGCAAATATGAGAACAATTCTTTTGAAGCTTATTTGTTAGGTTAAGGTATCCTCGCCCGTCAAACTATTAAAAAAGGAAAAATCAATGTGCATTTCAATTCAGTGCGATTGCTTCGAAAGGAATGAATTATCGGTAAATTTCCGTTGCAGCACATTTTTATATCATCCGAAATGGAAAAAAGGAAGAGAGGAACTTATAATCCCATTCCCATACCCCCCATACTGGAACCTGATCTAAACTACATTTTATTATTGGATAAATTAGATATTTTATCACTATAAAATATTTAATTTTAACCAATCATATTCCATCTAACTAACAACCCACTTATTTGTAAGTGCTGAAATTACTTGTAATTTCAGCACCAGAGAGATTTGAATTTAACTTAGAAATTAGTTAACTCTCCAAGAGAACTTCAGCAGTCGCAATAGGCCAGTATACTCTAGATCTATTGAGCCTAGCAGAGACTAGTTAAACACCCTGAGACTAGTAGATATAAGAGTAAGATTAGGATCGGTATTAGACTAAGAAGTTGCACGAATCTATCCGGCCGAAAATAAGATAGCGTGACGAGCAGACGGTGTACCCTATCCGAAATTACTCTATGAGTTATACAACATAACAGTTAACACATCTGGTGCGACCATAAATCTCGAATAAGACCTTAAAAAACAAAATAGCTTAGAATTAACAAAAAATAGATAGCCTCCGAGAAAGTACAACATCATTCTAACTAACTGATATACTGTATATCTCTCTCCAACCCGTCTACACTCGTCAACATATGCCCCATGGTTAGGATAACCTCACAAAAACCGTAAGAACTAACAGTGTGGGAAATAAAATTTCTAACTCTTGGATTTTTCAACCATCATCCAAAAATTTATGTCAGGAGATAATTTAGGAAATGAAAAAACAATATACTCCAGAATTGTTTAATTCAAAACGAAAGATACCATCTCGTAATTACACCGCACAAACAAAAGATAGGATACATCGGATCGAAAAAACAATCGAGAAAAAAGGCTAAAATGACCAAACAATGACAAAATATTAAAGAAAAACTTTCCAAAACACGAAACGCAGTTTCAGAATCCGATACAACTACAACTTCGGACAATGACGACATACGACTACATGAAAACTTACCATTTAATTTCATGGTCGTACGGCAAAAGCCAACACAAACCTTTATATTTAGAATCTTACTAGCAATGAATTTAGATTTTCATTTGCAAACATAAAATCATTGAAGGAAATCTTCAATGATTATCTCAGACGATAGATAAAATTACTATTGTACAATAACGATTGATAAAAAGATCTCAAATCGTTCCCTCCAATTCTGCAGTAATATATAAAACATATTTGAAAAAAGATTTATTGAAAACAAAAATAAAAAATAGTAGCATGACAATAAATTGTTAGTATATATAAATCATCCTGTTGTTCCAGCTCCATCACATAAACATAACAGCAATCATAAATCAACTAATATCACCAAAAACTAAAACTTTTTACCAAATAAATTTAAATTATTTTTAACTTAATTTTATTTAATCTTAAACCAGATCATCAAGGCTTTCCTTGGATCTAAATCAATTTTCTCTCTCATAAATTTTAAATTCTGATCATCAAGGTTTATCCTTGGATCAACAAGAACAATTTTGTTCTCCCCCACCCACTTATCAAGTGTCTAACGACCTCAAACGTCGATTCACTACCCAACGTTTTCAAAAGACCCAGGACTAATAGAAATTGTTTAATCACGCTAACCATTCAAATTAGGATAAACAGTGAAGAACTTCGGTTATTCATCCTTCACTTGAACCCTCCTCTTACCTGACCCAGGATAAATCTTAAACTTAGTAAGTTTAAAATAGTATCTAACGAACTACTTGCGTTCTAATTATACCTGAACCTTGTGGATCGATTTACTATTCTCCAACCCTTGAACATAATCACTACCCCTAAGTAAGATTAAGTAAGTTAACACCTTAACTTAGACTAGCCACGAGAAAGTAAAAATCATCCTTCGGAATCGAGATACTTTTCTATATACAACTCCCATTCCTGGCCTAACCCACCAGAGAAGGACGTCCTGAGCATGCTTATAGCCGGCCTAATCCACCGCACTTCACCCACGCTTTGTGACCAAACTTCAATTTTTAATAAAAGGTACTTAAGGGTGATTAACTCTTCAAATTAACTGAACTACAATAAAACGCTTTTGTGAAAACAACTAACTAAAATCATGACTAAAAACCAAATTAACAAAAATTTATAAAATGTAAATCATAATATGCAGTATATAGATCATACACAACAACAAAGACGAACATCCAAAGACTAGAAGATCCCATCACACTCGAACAAAAGAATGGCTAAGCACAACCGACATGCCGTCCACAATCACAACTCAAAGGATTCAGAGTACGACTTGACTTCGCAGAAAAGGACTTCATTGAGTTAGACCAATGACCACCTCGATGTTCAAGTATACGTACAGATCCGAGATTACAAGGCATCCCTTCTAAACACGATCTTCATGCCATTCCCAGACGAGGCTGCACACAAAACAGTTCTCTACTAATACAGAAAAATCTGACATAGCAAACCATTTTGAAATCGGATTGATTTCATTGGGGATCACAGTCGTTGTCGAATGACAAGATAATCACTTCATAAACATCATTCCAGCGTCCTGGAACGTTCTTCTTTAAGAGGAACCGGATAAGAACATGATGTTCGCCAAATACCAACGTTCATCATCCATCCTTCAATTACAGAAAGAAAGATAAATCTAAAAAACTCTGTAAACCCCGGATGGGTGGAACCTGATCTAAACTACATTTTATTATTGGATAAATTAGATATTTTATCACTATAAAATACTTAATATTAACCAATCATATTCCATCTAACTAACAACCCACTTATTTTTAAGTGCTGAAATTACTTGTAATTTCAGCACCAGAGAGATTTGAATTTAACTTAGATATTAGTTACCTCTCCAAGAGAACTTCAGCAGTCGCAACAAGCCAGTATACTCTAGATCTATTGAACCTAGCAGAGACTAGTTAAACACCCTGAGACTAGTAGATATAAGAGTAAGATTAGGATCGGTATTAGACTAAGAAGTTGCACGAATCTATCCGGCCGAAATTAAGATAGCGTGACGAGCAGACGGTTTACCCTATCCGAAATTACTCTATGAGTTATACAACATAACACTTAACTCAATACATAGAACCGAAAATTACTTTTTTTGCATTCATAATTGGTCGTATAATTCAGCGGCCCTTTTTCCTTTTCCCCCACCTCACGCGAGCATCAATTTTATGGTGCAACGAGTGGTTTTACAAGTTTCGTTATGAACAAATACGTTTATCATGGCCTGATTAGTCCAATTTGTGTGTGCCAATTTTTATAACAATCGAACAGTGTGAACACAAATTTGTACCAGTAAACATTTGCACGTGGGGAAACGAAAAAAGACGGGGGGAGTGTTTGGGAGGAGGAGTGTTTTTTTTGAGGGGTGGGGGGGGGGTATGTTTTAGGGCGTTTGCCGCTTGGCCCCCCACTATTATAGCCGAATTATAGTTCAAAAATTTCCCCCAAACGTGATTTTGTTGTTATAGCTGGAACTGACGCAGCAGAAGAACGAATATGTGATCACCCTGAAGAGACTGGAGGATAATTTGCTGGCGAGACTGTCTGCTGCCACTGGAAACTTCCTGGACGACACTGAGTTGGTGGAGAATTTGGAGAGCACCCGGAGCACCGCCCAGGAGATAGAGGAGAAGCAGAAACTGGCACAGGAAACTGAGGTCAGTTCGAATTAGGAGTCTTTTTTAAGAGTCGATGAACGTATAGCGAAGATTTTTATTATGGTCGCGATGATTTTGTTAGGAAAGTCTGTTCACGCTCAAAGTTTGTTCATGCTCAAATTTGATTTTTTTTGCGGTTAGATTTTTGATTTATTAAGAGTAGGGGCGGATCTAGAATTTTCTGCAAGGGGGAGGGGGGGGGGGGTTGGGCTAGCAGATTTTCAAAAAACTTTCGAAAACATTGTCGACATTTTTTTGGGTCGAAAAAATTGATTTTCGGAGCTCTCCCAAAGCACTAAAAAAACCAGCGCCGCAGGCAATTTTGACCAAAACATTGCGCTTTCCCCCCCTATATCCGCCCTTTTTTAAATAGGTCTTGGTGATTTTTTTTCAGGAAAAAGTATTAAAAAAAGATCACGCTCATATTTGATTTTGGTACCACGATTACTCGCAAGAAAAGACAACTCACAGCAAAATACAGTTAATAAAATTTAAAAAAGAGACAACTCGCAAGTTTTTGAGGCTAATTGAAAGTTTATATTTTCGGTTTAAGGTCGCCGGTGGGCGCGCTACGCGCGCGTCGATGCTTTCCGTCGATAACCGGCTCTTAATTTCGATTAAAGTCCTAACCTCTGTTGGCAAGCTCGCAACACGCGACTGCGGCGGTGAGTATATTGCGAGTTGTCTTTTAATGCGAGTTGTCTTTTATTGCGAGTTGTTTTTTCCTGCGAGTTATCGCATAATGTTGATTTTTAGCGGTTTGACTTGTGATTTATTTCTAAAATGACTTACTTTGCTTAGTTAAAAAGAAGGCAAACTCCACTGTCGAACAGCAAAACTGTAAAAATCACGAAAAAAGTGATCAATTTCTAGTTTTGAAATGGGAATATATTTTTCAGATTTCCCAGCGAAATAAAAGTGTTACCTTTTGATCCAGTTCTATCAAAATGGGATATTTTTCACAATAAAAGAGTCCTTGATAAATTTAGATTATCTATAAATTGTCGAAAGTCAAAAGTTGAAGTTGTAAAGAGTAATGAACGTAGTGAAGACTCTTTGAAGGTCTTGCTGATTTTTTAAAAATTTTTTTCAGGAAAAAGTCCTAAATGTGCATAAAAGTTTCTAATAACTACAGATTGGCATTCATACATATTGATGCATTTATGAATGCACTTAGTTAAATATGCATAATTTGACTTTTACTAAAATTACTCGATCAAAATTATGCAAATAGCACTCTGCAAATACGAATGTGGAAATGGTGCAAAAAATTGTGAACACTACTTTTTTGTTTTCAAGCAGAACAATAACTTTAATTGTTGATCCAGTTTTGTCAATTTGGGTTAATGTTATCAAAAAAGCGCCAATCATAAATCGTTCTAGAAAATCAAAGAGCTTGAAGGGCATTTATTTTTTTTGAGGATCGAATTAGAGATTTTTTCAACAAAGTCTGTGTTTTTTTTTTGTTTCCTTGCGTTCATAAGTCTTTTCAAATCTTCGATTTGCTAAGTTTTAAAAAAGAAGCATTTTTTTTTCACTTTTTAGCGTTCATTTTTTTTCCAACTGTCAGTTGGCTATACTTTTTAAGTTCAGTTATTTCGCTTTCCAAAAAGAAATTAAAGTCGATTATCGAACAATAAAAGTGTAATGGTTACCAAAATTTCAAAAGTGGGCTTTAGTCTTCAAATTTGCCAGCGGAATGAAAGTTTTAACTGTTTGTCCCGTTTTCTTAGATTGTTTCAATCATAAACTGCTCAAGAAAGTGTATCCTAAAATGTTCCTGAGTTCCAAAGAAATTTAAACCTTTTTTTTACTTCTGAAAATCGAAACCTGAAAAATTTGAAGACACCTCATATGAACGCAGTCAATCATAAATTGTTCCTAAGATATGAAGAGCTCTAAAAAATTTTTTTTGAAGTTTTAAAGTTGAGTTTTTTCAAAAAATTTCGGAGCTTTTACTTTCTGCTTCCCTTAGCGCTCATTGATATAAAGCGCTCATTGACGTTTTAAAAACAGTCGGCTGGATATGTGTTGTGCATTTTGAAGCTTTTCTTTTCCGCTTTTGCCTTTCTTTGTTTTTGTTCTGAATTTCAGCTTTGCTTCTTTGAGATACAAATAATGACAGCTCAACAGGGCAATATCGTTAACAAGGAAAGGAGTTTGAGTTATAATTTTTTTTCCAAATTTGAGGTCTATTTTGATTGGTCTGAAACAGGATTTTGTTTTTTTTTACAATCGTTCTGCTATGCATCCGAATCAAGACATCCTTAAACTTTTCAATTGGAATATTTATTGAGTGCAAGGGCGCGGTTTTTCAAAAAAAATCGACAGTTTTGTCGACTTTAGTTGAAGCCAACCAAATTGAATTTCCAAGAACACTATAGGGACCCTATTTTGAAAAAAAATTGGCACCGCAGCCAAATTTCTGAAAAAAAGCAGGTCACAAATGCCGTATTTATGCACTTTTTAGAAAATTTTGACCAAAAAATTGCGTCTATTCGGTGCGCTACCCTTCATAATTAAAATATACTGGCTCAAAGGTGCCTCTAGTAAAATTTTTTGGTTAGCTGGCCGAAAATGGATGTCATAAAATAATACCAAAGGGGGGGACACTTTGGTTGGCGAAGGAGTCAAATCCCTGAGGGAAAGGTGTCCGCCTCCCGATGGATCTGCCCCTGATTTAGTGTCAATTAACGTAGTGAAGACGCTTTATTAGGTTTTTTTTGTGAAAACGTTTAAATAATGTTCACGCACAACAGTAGTTCTATTGCTGGTTGAATTTTGATCTGTTTCAAATTTAGGTCTTTCGCCTTGTTTAAAGGACGGCAAACTCGACTAGCAAACAAAAAAGAGAAAAGTTCCTGAAAACGTGTATTACTTCTGGTTTCAGACTTTTATTTTCGAATTCTGAGCAGAGATTGCTCAACAGGGCAACTTAGCAACAATTTTTTTTGAAAAATGATTTTTTTTTAAATATTTGCATATGTGAAATGTCGATATGCTAAAAAAACTATCTCAAAAGCGCTGCTCCTCTCCTCTTCTCTTAGGTTCCATAAATTGAAATAGCAGCGAAAGATTTAATTGAATGAATTAGTTTCCCATTTTTAGTATCAAGAGATTAAAGATCATGACTTCAGAGATTATTCACATCGGTATGAACGAATTATTACTTCAGATGAAAGTCAATTGGTTTTAATTAGACAGTGTGCTAAATATATATAATGCACAGTTGAAACCCCCACTCAATTGGCGAACATCTGAAGCCCAAAACGTTTGCACTTTGTCTTGCCCAAATTCTTAGTGAGAATATCAGCCACCATATTGTCAGTCCCAATATAGTTCAAATCCAACTGTTTCTTTTGAATTAAGTCCCTGATGAAATGTAGATGAATAGCAAAATGTTTTACGACTCCCTTGTTAACGTCGTTTTTCACAAGAGAAATACATGCTTGGTTGTCCACAAACATTTTGAAATCAATTAAATCGAGTTTGATTTCGATCAGTAAATTCAACAGGAATAATCCTTCATTACAGGCTAACGAAAGAGCTGTAGCCTCTGATTCAGCTTTAGATTTTGCAACAGTAGTTTGGAGTTTGCTAGCCCACGATATTGCACCGCTGTTTTCAAACAGGAAAAAGCAATATCCACTAGTACTGCGTCTAGTGTCACTGTCACCTCCCCAATCAGAATCAGAATAGCCATACAAGATTGGCGTAGCAGTACATCGTCTGTAGATAAGTTTATACGATCTAGTTCCTTTCAAATATCGTATAACTCGTTTTGCAGCAATCCAGTGTACTTCAGTAGGGTCGTTCACATATCTACTCAAGCAATGAGCGATGAATGAAATATCAGGCCTTGTAGTAATTGACAAGTAACTTAGACTGCCGATAAGTCCTCTATAATCTTTGTCGTTTGCTAATTTCACCTCATTTGGTAGCCGTTTACAAAGTTTTAAACCATCAGCTGCAGGTGTAGACACTGGTTTACACTCAATCAAACCAAATTTTGACAGTAGCTTGTCAATATACGCTTCCTGAGAAATTTCTAACCCATCCCCACAAAAATTGAATTTCATCCCCAAAAACCAATAAAGTTTTGCTGTTTCGCTGATTTTGAATTGACTAGATATTTGTTGTTCAAATGATATAAACTTGTTAGCATCATTGCAAGCGTAAATTATATCATCCACCCAAATGCATACGTATTCCAAAACATCTTTTGAAATTCTCATGAAAAGACAGGGATCACTTTTTGACGCTGTAAAATCTATTGACTTAAGGAACATCTGTAAGGTATAGTACCAATTTCTTCCTGACTGCTTTAATCCATAAATAGATTTATTTAGCTTACATTACCCCCACTGTCTTTCTGCTCAAAACCTTCAGGTTGTTGCAGGAAGACATTCTCTTCCAAATTAGCGTTTAGATAGGCTGTTTTTACGTCCCATTGTCTTACATCAAAACCCTTAGCTGTTGAAATTGCTAAAATAAGTCGTAATGTTGCCATTTTTACTGTAGGACAAAAGGTTTCCTTGAAATCAACGCCTTTGATTTGATTGTAGCCTTTAGCCACATATCTTGCCTTGTATCTTGAAATTCCCCCCTCATTATTGTATTTCAAAGTAAAATGCCACCTTCCCCCCAAAATAGTTTGATCCGTTTGTGGAACTAATTCCCAGACATTATTGTTGATCAGAGAATTATATTCATCCTGCATTGCTTTTTTCCAATTGGGGTTAGAAAGTGCATCGTTAGCATTTTTTGGCAAATTATCAACATAAAAAGTTGCATCAGCTAGCCAACACTCATCAAAAATTGTCTCATTTCTAAAAAATGAAATCTCAGGCGCATTTAATTGTTTGATCCGTTCGCTGCGGCGTAATTGATCATTTTCAAGGTTTCCGCCATTAACATTATCCGCAGAATTTTTCTCAGAAATCTCAGAATAGTTTTCAACGCTTATTTCCAATTCCCGTCCAGAATCATTTTCATCGTCATTTTTGAAAGGAAAAACTTTTTCATCAAAAGTAACATTTCTACTCTCCAAAAATTCAAAGTTTCCATCAAGCTCAGTTCCTACTATATAACATTTACTGTTCAGACTATATCCAAGCAGAAATCCTTTCACGGCCCTTGAATCAAGTTTTTTCATGTTTACTTTTTCGACAAACATATATGCAGCACAACCAAAAATTTTTACGTGTTTCAAATCAGGTTTGCTTTGGAAAAATTTTTCGTATGGGGTTACCCCAATTGCAGAATGATAAACTCGGTTTTTCAAGTAGAAAGCTGTTTTCAATGCAAAAGACCAAAATTTCTTTTCCATGCTGGCAGTTTGTAAAAGACATCTAGTTATTGCCATTACACTACCCCAAGTTCGCTCTATTTTACCATTTTCCTCTGGTGTATAAGGCGCAGAAAATTCAGTTCTTATGGCATTATCAAGACAAAACTGTTTAAACTTTCCAAATTTGAACTCTTTTGGATTATCACTAGCTATTGTTTTTGGTTTACCATAATCCGCTATGAACTGTTTGAGCATCTGAGTGATATCACTTTTTTTTTCAATAAGTAAACCGCAGAAAATCTTGTGTAGGAATCAATAAAACCTATTGCGTACTTAAAGTTGTCTACAGATATCGTATCAATTGGTCCCAAAATATCCGTATGAACAATTTCTAGTTTTTCTGTAGCTCTAGTCCCCCAAACTTTTGGTATCGCTTTCCGCTTAGCTTTTTCAGTCTGACAATCAACACAGTTATTATGTTTCTTTTGGCTAAATTTAACTCCCTCCGTTAGATTTTCTAATTTCTTGATGTCATCAAAATTATTATGACCAAGCCGTTTATGCCAAATTTCTATGTCCGAAACAACCATTGCAACATTTTCCACAGAGTGTTCATTTGCCAGTTCAATTTTCATTTTGAAAAGATCTCGTTGATTTTGAAGCAAAATTTCAGAACTATCTGGTAAAATTATTCTGGGACAAACATCATCAAACATTACATCAGCTTTATTTCTGTTAAGTTTAGATACAGAAACTAAATTTGCCGTATACGTAGGTACAAACAGAGTATCTTTCAGTTCTATAGTTATCAATCGACCATCACTTGTTTGAACTTTAAACGTTACTTTTCCCTTTCCCACAATTTTTGAATTACTTCCATTTGCACAGCCAACATTTCCATTAATATTCGTATCAAGTTCCGTAAAAAATTCGCGTGTTTTAAACATATGCGCAGAGCAACCGCTATCAATCAAGCAAAATTTGTCGGAATTTACGCCAAAATCATTGTCATTAGAATGAAAACTGAAAAAGTCGACAGTGTTTTCATTTTCTGAAGTAAAATGGCTTTTGTTTTGTTGATTTTTTGATGTAAACTGTTTTTGATGGCTGCTATTTGAATGGTTATTTTGGGTATTTTTCCTACAATCTCTAGCAAAATGTCCCATTTGATTGCAATTGTAGCATTTTATGTCTTTCTTGCAATCCTGTTTTCTATGACCTTGCTTTCCGCAACTGTAGCATTTAATAGTTTTATTACTAAAAAACGTTTCATTTGTTGAATTTTTCTGCAAAAAAGTCTTGCTTGTTTCGGCAAAATTTGACAAATCTCTTTTAATCTCGTCCAAGCTTTTTGCATCTTTCGAAAAATTCACCACAGTTGTAAAATTATCAAATTCTTTTGGTAGTCCTTTTAAAAGCATTGCAATCATCATTTTTTCAGAAATACCCTCTCCCGCTTCTTGTAGATTCATTTGCAAATTTTCCGATCTAAGTATGTAGTCCTTAATCGATTCGCTCGCCTCTAATTTCAAATTAGAAATTTCATGTAACATTCTTTGAACACGTGGTCGTTCCGTACTTTTAAAGTAGCTTTGCAGCCGATTCCATGCCGCTGAACCATCTGGTTTATCGCGTTTTATTAGCATTACAGACTTTCGATCAAGGCATTGTATTAATTCACACCACAATTGTTCTTTTCTATCATTAACATTAGTCTCATTTTCACTACTTCCTGGAACATCTGTTCCCTTCAACGTTTTCTTTAAATTCAAAAGAACTATACGAGCTTCAAATTGCTCAGCAAAATACTCCCAATCATTTTCATTTCCCGAAAAAGTCAATTTTTCCAATCTTGTTTGAATACTTCGTGCCATGGTTAAATGTCACTTCAAATTTCGAATTGTAAAACTTCTCTTTCAAAATTTCTCTTTTCTTTCAAAACTTCTATTTTCAAAGTTGTAATTCATACAACCAATTCTTTTCTTTCTCTTGAAATCCTATTCATACAAACCACCGTAGAATTTTACTCTCTGATGCTGTCAGGCGTAGAGTCTCAATTCTTCACGAAATCGCCCATAACCTCTTAGGGTCCATAAATTGAAATAGCAGCGAAAGATTTAATTGAATGAATTAGTTTCCCATTTTTAGTATCAAGAGATTAAAGATCATGACTTCAGAGATTATTCACATCGGTATGAACGAATTATTACTTCAGATGAAAGTCAATTGGTTTTAATTAGACAGTGTGCTAAATATATATAATGCACAGTTGAAATCTTCTGAGTAGTCAAGGAGTTCAAAATTTGAGGTTCAGTTCTTCTAACTACCGTCTATGTATCCTGTATTGTAGATTGAGATCAGCAGTGCTCGTGAGAACTACAGGCCAGCCGCCGCGAGAGCAGCACTGCTCTATTTCATCCTGAACGACCTGCACAAGATCAACCCCATGTACCAGTTCAGCCTCAAGGCATTCACCATCGTCTTCATCCGCGCCATAGACACCACGCCAGCTGTCACAAAGGTACACTCGGTCAATAGAGTACCCGTACCCACAAAAGGTCTCAAAACTAGACAGAAAGTGTACTTGGATAATCGCAGTAAATATTTTTTATAGTTTTCTGGTTAGAAATTCTGTATTTCTTACTTTTGATTAGAATTAACTAATTTGGTTGTCAGATGTTCCAAGTTTGTTATGTAAATTAGTTTTTAAAGCTTAATGAATCTGATTGAAGTTCTAATATATCAAAGTCTTAAGAAAACTACAATATCAGCAAGTTTGCTTAGTAAATTTTTGCAAAAACCAATTAGATCCGGTTTATTGTTCCGAACAAGCCTCTGGGTTTCGAGATAAAAATGGAGTCATCAGCTATGTTCCTAAAACCACAACCAAGCGTCCAATTTCTACGAAGGCGTCTTACTAAGGCGTCTTCTAAGCGTTTCATCCTGATTTCATTGATTCGAAAGAAGAACGAATTTTATTTTAAGAAATTAACGAAGTTAATCTGAGTTTTGGACTTCAGGCTACTTTTTCAATCAAATTAATACCCGAATAATCATCTGTTTGCGCATTAACTTTATGAATTCGCTTGATAAAATGCTAAGAATTTCAGGCTGTTCTAAGGCACCTAAGCAGTTAGACTTGATTCAATTGTGCCTGTGTTAAAAAAAATAACTTAAAAGATAAAACAAACCTAAAAATCCACAAAATTTATCGACCTCTGTTTCGAAGTAGTTGAATAAACCTTTGCTAAGTTAGAAAAGTTGATATGCTTAATGCTTAATTCAATCTGTTTTGTTCCGGCCACTTCGCGAAGCTTAACTACCTCAAAAAAACGTCGACGGTTACAAAGTGTGATAGCATATTGCTGGTTATTTGGATTCTTAAAAATCGACAAAAATATGTCTGACAGGGGCGAATTTAGGGAGGGGGGGGCGAAGGGGGAGGGGGGCAAACCAATATATACTAATTTTGAGGGGGAGCGCGGGCCGAAAAAACGCAATTTTTTGGTCAAAATTTTCCAAAAAGTGCCTAAAAACGCCTTTTTTGGACTGTTTTTTCAAATTTTTGCCTGCGGCGCAGAAAACTTGGCCAAAACGTACTAAACCGAGCTCAAAAAATCAATTCGAATGACCTAAAAAAAATTATCTGTAATTTAGCTATGGACTAGGCTAAATTAATTGCCTTCACTAAAATAGGCCATTTGAAAAGTTAGAAAAATTGGAAAACTTTTCCCTCTTTTTTAGTTGTTCTGCTTTAAATCCTTGTGATCGGAACATCGTTGTGGCAGCCGGCTATATCCTTGTTTCTATTTACAATTCCAGGCCGAGGAAGCGGAGGATGAAGATGACGATGAAGGGGAGCAGGGAGGCAATAAAGGAGGGGCGCAGGGGGGAGGAAAGGGAGGAGGGGGAGGGGCAGGTGGTGGGGAGATGGAGTTGTTGAAAGAGCGAGTGGAGAACTTGACGGATGCCATCACTTACCACACCATCATTTACACCACGAGAGGTAAGTCAAAAAAGAGTTCACATAAGCTCATACGCACACGCAAATTTTCTTTGCTTTGCGAAGATTTTCGACAACTTTTTCTTAACAGCTGGAAAAACGCATTATAGATTTTTTGCCTTTTTTTGGTCGGCCATGATTTAGCTGTTTAAATGATCACCTTAATTGAAAACTAATGCAGGACTAACTTAGTTGGTGTTCTCCCAAACGATTCTAATTTGTATTTAAAAATTTTTTATAAATAACTTTGTAACTAGATATCGTTTGGAAACAATTTATTATTATGATTATTATAGTTCAAAATGGGTGAACCAAAATTAGGCCAATAAACCTTTTCGAAAAGTCGCTCTTCCCATAAAGAATAACTGCAAGACACGAATTTCTTTCTGAGTTTATCTTGTTTCTTTTTTTCAACTGCAGCCCTGTTTGAGAAAGACAAGTTCATCTTCAAGACGCTGGTGGCGTTCAAAGTGTTGCAACATGCAGGCGACATCATACAGAATGAGATGGACTTTCTCCTCAAGTGTCCAGGGTCCAAAGACAGCAAGAGTCCAGTGGACTTCCTCACTGACATCCAGTGGGGCACCTTGAAGGTCAGTGAAGCTAAAAGGAGGAACATTTTCAGTAGCGAGAAAAACTCAAGTAAGACAATTTAAAAAAATGGATGATATTCATAGTAGAATTAGTTGTTATGAACGATAAACTGTTATGAAGTTGTATCGGACAAAAAATTGCGTCAAAATGCGGCAGCTATAACCAAAAAAACTCTATATTTTTTCGTGTGATTTCTGCTGTCTTGGTCAGGTTGATTGTTTTAGACTTGGTTCAGTTCTTCTTTTTTTCTTGTGTCAGTTCAGTAATATTAAGCGCATTTTTGACGTAACGAAAAGTTCCTCATTCTGTTTGTTGTTCATCCTCCTCGCCGAAGGAAGGGAATAAGGCGAAGTCATTTGACCAGTGAAATACGGGTTTTTTATTTCCGTGACTTCAAAAAGTATGCTTTCATGTGATCTCCATCATGCTTGAATTTGATCGGTATATAATAAATTATACAAAAAATATGAAATTCAATTTAAAAGAGCTCATTTATCTTTTTAGTTGTTTGTACCACATAATAGAAAAAAAGCGCGGTTGGTTTTGTTCAGACGCTGTCGCAGATGTCGTCGGAGTTCACTGGCCTGGACAAGGACATCGAAGGGAGTGGGAAGAGGTGGAAGAAGTTCGTGGAGAGTGAGGCGATAGAGCAGGAGAAGTTCCCCACCGAGTGGAAGAACAAGTCACTCATGCAGAGACTCTGTATCATCCGAGTGCTCAGACCAGACCGCATGATATACGCCATAGAGTGAGTCATAACCAGAACCATAACGCCGTTTTTTTTAGAAAGATTAAGATTAAGACCATTTATCCACGGGGGAAAGGACCAACACAAGAGCTGTACAGCTCATCACGGCGAACCGCTGTTGTGCCACTGTTTAAGAACTTAAGAACTACATGCTATTTTTTTTGGTTATTCTCTGGGCTGGGTACTGTTACTTCACCCTCAAGCAACGAGCACGGATCATGGTGGGCCTCGAACATCCGACCTTTCGATTGAGAGGCGGACACGTAACCACTTCACCACCGCTCCCGGTACCGTAAAGTTACCGTTGGCGCAAGAATTTTTGTGCGATCATTATCGTGTTTGGAAAACTAATATCAAGAATAAATAGGAAAATCAAAAACGTCGATCTAAAAATAAGTTTTTTTTGATCCGAAATCAACTCCCCCTTTAAAAACCCATTGGAACCTGATCTAAACTATATTTTATGATTGGATAAATTAAATGTTTTACCAATGTAAAGTATTTAATATTAACCAATCATGATCCATCTAACTAACAACCCACTTATTTGTAAGTGCTGAAGTTACTTGTAATTTCAGCACCAGAGAGATTTGAATTTAACTTAGAAATTAGTTGGACTCTCCCGAGCACTTCAGCCGCCGCAATAAACCAGTATACCCTAGATCTATTGAGCCTAGCAGAGACTAGTTAAACAACCTGAGACTAGATAGTATAAGAGTAAGATTAGGATCGGTATTAGACTAAGAAGTTGCACGAATCTATCCGGCCGAAAATAAGATAGCGTGACGAGCAGACGGTGTACCCTATCCGAAATTACTCTATGAGTTATACACTCCAGTCTTAACTCATCTGGTGCGACCATAAGTCTCGAACAAGACCTTACTAGATTAGAATTAACCAAAAATAGATTAGAAATTAGACAAAAACATTTACAAAATGTTATACGACAATAATTTAATTGAAATGTCTCTCCGACTCAATAGATCAGAGCCAATATTCCGAACCATAATAGAACTACCCGGAATTGGAAGAAGACCTCGAACCAAAGACGACATACGACAAAGTAGAAACTTGCCGTATAGTTATATGATAGTTCGGCAAAAGCCAGAACAAACTTTTATATTTCGAATACTACTTGCAATGAATTTAGATTTCCATTTGCAAACATAAAACCTTGAAGTTAATCTTCAAAATCATTTCAGGCGCTAAAAAAAATTAATATTATACAATAACGATTGATAAAAAGATCTAAGATCGTTTTCCTAAAACTCTGCAGTATTATACAAAACATGTTTGAAAAATATTTATTGGAAAATAAAAATAAAAATTAGTAGCATGACAATAAATGGTTAGTAATCATAAATCATCTTGTTGTTCCAGCTTCATCACCTAAAACATAACAGCAATCATCAACTCACTAATATCATCAAAACACTAAATCTTTCCTTTACACACATTTAAAAATTTATTAAAACTTAAATTCACTTAATTTTAAAACCAGATCATCAAGGCTTATCCTTGGATCTTAAATCATTTTCTACTTAATTAAAATCCCAAATTTGATCATCAAGGCTTATCCTTGGATCAAACAGAACAATTTTGTTCTCCCCCACCCACTTAATTAGTGTCTAACGACCTCAAACGTCGATTCACTACCCAACCCTTTCTAAAGACCCAAGACTAATAGAAATTTTTAAACAAAACTAATCATTCAAATTAGGATAAATAGTGAAGAACTTCGGTTATTCATCCTTCACTTGATCCCCCCTCTTACCAGACCCAGGATAAATCTTAGACTTAGTAAGTTTAAAATAGTATCTAACGAACTACTCGCGTTCTAATTATACCTGAACCTTGTGGATCGATTTACTATTCTCCAACCCTTGAACACAATCACTACCCCTAAGTAAGATTAAGTAAGTTAACACCTTAGCTTATACTAGTCACGAGAAAGTAAAAATCATTCTTCGGAATCGATACACTTTTCTCTCCAACCCTGAACAAATAGACCCAGGTTAAGCTAACCAAAAAATCGTAAGAACTAACAGTTTAGGAAAATAGAAATCATTTAACAACCTTTGCATCCGTCATTCTAAACCTTATGTCATTTAAAAACCTAGGAAATAAACAAACAATCATTTTACACAATTGTGAAATAGATAACAAAAAATACGACCTTGTAATCACACCTCATACACAAACAGTTGGATACATTTGCACAAAACGACAAACACTAAAGAGGAAAATAATAACTAAACAAAGACAAATAACACGAAAAAGATTTTCAAAAAATCGAAACGCATTTTCAGAATCAGAAACCAACAGTTTAGACGAACTTTACAAACTAAAAGAATCAATAGATAAAAATTACCCACTTCACGATCAATTATATTTTTCTGACTCAGAAACAACTTCAAATTCATCACAAAGAGGAAAAAGAAGAATAAAAAAACAGTACAAACACAAACCAGTACATCTATACAATTGGAATCAACCAATTCGACACATTAATAATTACATATTAACAGTCATCGAACGGAAAAATGAGTTCAACACACACCCCAGGTGACGAAACTCCAGATGATGATGAAATCTTTCCTTTTATAGTAGATGCAGATACTGATAGAGGACAACACATATTTTGTCAAAATTTACTCGTAAATTTATTTGAACCCGGAATCAGTCCATGTAAAACAGAGTTCCCCGATGTAAAAATCAAAAGACAAATCATAGATCACTATCTAAAAGATATATGCAACATAACACAACAGTATGGAATCTACTCTATAGAATTCACTTCCCCAAACCATAATAATAGAACATATACTATTCAAACAGACGATCTTGATTTAGAATTTTCAAAAGTTTTTTCAGAATATATAAAAAGCATCCAATACCATAACTCACAAAGAGCAAACTCCATTTTCACTAATGAAGTTTTCGCAAAAATATATAGTTATATTTCGATATTAGAAAATGAACTCCCATTAACAAATGTCTCACCGACAGAAACATCTAAACATTTAAGAGTACGACATGAAATCACACTACTCTCTAGTTATTTAAACATCATTAAAGAAAATTTCACGAAAGACGACGTTTCACAACATACCAAACACGATTTACAAAAAATTCTGGCATGGTTCATAATAGATTATTTCACACACAATATTGATTTAATTGCACAAGCAAGAAAAAATTTTAGACCCCAAAATTCGAACGATGATACCGCTATCACAGAACAATCAGATTATGTTTGGGACCCCGAATGGTCTCATCCCGCATTTATAAGCTTTCCACAATCAATCTCAAGTCAAGCAATAGGTACAATATCTTACATAAGAGATTATGTAAGAGTAATACCATTAACAATTGATGCAACACCATTAAACTATAATACATTTTTACCCGATACACAAAATAATAGTTTAAACTCTACAGTCATACACAACGAAAACCTCAATGGAACTAGGAATCTTACTCAACAAGATATCCAGACACCATCACACTTCATAAATGAAGAAATTGTACACACAACAACTACACAACAAAGTATTTCACCAATACGCCCAAATTTAACAACACCAAGAAATACAAATCCTTCACAAACACAGGTAACCTTACAATCAACCGTTAAACCTTCGGTTGCCCCTAAATATTCACATATGGATTACCAAACATACAGACCCATGACAATACCATCAAAAACACGCAAAACATTCACTAGAAACAACTTTGCAGACCATAATTATAATTATACACATCCATCAAAAACAAATTATCAACCACAAAGGAATTTTAATCAATATACAAAACCTCGAAACTGGGATAACCCAACGGCCCAATATAATTCCAAAAATTTTCAACCAAATCCTCCACAGGATCGCAGTGAAAATTACCCATTTTTTCAACAAAATAAAAATAAAAAACAAACATCTTATCAAATGGATTATTTATCCTCAGATGATGATTTCTTACAACAAGATATATTTGCACCAAATACTCAAGAATATCGTAGACAAGAAATACAGAGAACACGTACAAATCATAGAAATTTTTCTCCACAATCAATAGATGCACAACATCAACAACCAATTCAACAACAAAATCCAATTAATACACAATCTTTTCAACCACTTCAACAACAAAATCCAATGACTGCACACTCGTATCAACCATCACAAATTCAAAATGAAATACCACTCCCATATTATCTCCAACAACATGAAATAACAAGAAACCAACTTTCAAATTTTTCTCAAATGCCAAATGCAGCAGAATCATTACAAATGACAATGAATCCATACCTTATGGGTGGATCATCAATAACATCAAACAAACCTTTAATGGTTTTCACAGGAACAGACCCTGAATACTCTGTAGAAGATTATTTAAATGCAGTAACAGCAAATTTGATTTTAAATATAGGACCTGAACCAATTAATACGCCACTACATCAAAACTGGATACATCGACGCACAGCGTTGATACAAACAACCTTAGATGGCGCAGCCCAAAAATGGTTTTCAGTACTACCTCTAGAAATAAAATCAAACTGGAAAAGATTTACACAAGAATTTTCAAAAATGTTTGACTCCGAAAGAAACAAACAACAACAAAGAGTTTTATGTAATGAAATTCGCAGATTACCAAACGAAACCATCAAGCAAATAGCAGTACGAATCGAAACACTAGTTCGAAAAGCATACTCACTAAATACACATGACTATAAAAACACAAAGATGACAGAAATCTTAATGATGACCTTAACACCACAATTAAGGAAAATAGCAATAAAAAAGAGAGCATCCCATCCTTCTTCAATTCGAGAACCCGATTTAGATTTTCGAAAACTAGTAGACAAATTAGAACAAGCAGAAATCACGATGAAACTAGAAGAAACGGAAAATCTGAAATTACAATACGTTAACAGAATTGAAACGACTCCCACTAATATTAATAATATACAGGAATCAGAAACAGACCTCGTTGAAAAAATC